AATGCAACACTCTACACTAAATGCTACACTCTACACTAAATGCTACACTCTATACTAAATGCTACACTCTACACTAAATGTTACACTCTACACTAAGTGTTACACTCTACACTAAATGCTACACTCTACACTAAATGCTACACTCTCCACTAAATGTTACACTTTACACTAAATGTTACACTCTACACTAAATGTTACATTCTAAACTGAATGCTATACTCTACACTAAATGTTACACTCTACACTAAATGTTACATTCTACACTAAATGCTACACTCTACACTAAATGCTACACTCTGCACTAAATGCTACATTCTACACTAAATGTTACACTCTACACTAAATGTTACACTCTACACTAAATGTTACACTCTACACTAAATGCTACACTCTACACTAAGTGTTACACTCTACACTAAATGCTACACTCTACACTAAATGCTACACTCTCCACTAAATGTTACACTCTACACTAAATGCTACACTCTACACTAAGTGTTACACTCTACACTAAATGCTGCACTCTACACTAAATGCTACACTCTACACTAAATGTTACACTCTACACTAAATGTTACACTCTACACTAAATGTTACACTCTAAACTGAATGCTATACTCTACACTACATGCTACATTCTACACTAAATGCTACACTCTACACTAAATGCTACACTCTACAATAAATGCTACACAATCCGCTACACGCTACGTGATACATACGTACATGTTTTTTGGTTAAATCGCGTAAGAAGAAATGTGTCGTAACCCTCCACCATCCGACACAGCCAGTAACGTTTATCACGTAAACAACGCGCCAAGTAGTTGACTACTTCAGCCCACCGGTGTGTTGGAGAGTAAATCCACAACATTTACAATTTGAGTAGCACGACATTTCGCTGGTAATTACATGAACCAGCATCATCGGGCGATTTGCCAGAATAGTGAAGCAATCCACCTGCTTCAGGTCTTAGAGCATCAGCAGCAGGACGTCATCACTGAACCCATCAGGTGCAGAGATCAGAGGCGGAGGAGGGGGGTTATGTAATCATTTTATAGAATATGTTCAGTTATATTCTTGGTTCTTTCGGTAAAGTCACGTAGAAGGGAAATAATAATCTACGTGACTTTACCGAAAGAACGAAGAATATGAATCCCTGCAGTCACGAAAGCTTTAAATCGAAATTTATGTTCAGTTAATTAGCATGCGTTTCCTCTATAAGGAATGCAGTTGTAAGACGTATTACTTAATAATAGGCTTCCAGACTATAGTTTTGCAAAAACAAAAAATTAGAGTAAGATTTGGCACGGCACACAACATTTAACAACTATATTCTTACTTAATTTGGAGCTTTCGTGACTGCAGGAATTACTCTTTGGTTTTTTCGGTAAAGTCACGTATAAAGAGAAAATAATAAATTAAATACTAGCATACGACGTTTCGATTGCAACACAAGCAATCATCATCAGGTATAAATGAAATAGAAACACAAATCTAGTATGTATCTCTGTGATATCTGTCTCTACTTACATGTCTGTCTATATGTCTCTGGTTCTGTGTTTTATCTCTCTCCCAAATTTAGCATTCTCAGGAAGAATGTAATCAACCAGTTAGGGTGTTGACTGTTATGTTATCCGACTCTGTTGTATTACATTACATTTCTAAGTATACTAGATTTGTGTTTCTATTTCATTTATACCTGATGATTATTGCTTGTGTTGTAATCGAAACGTCGTATGCTAGTACAGTATTTAATTTATTATTTTCTCTTTATACGTGACTTTACCGAAAGAACCAAAGAGTAACTATATTCTTGGTTCTTTCGGTAAAGTCACGTAGAAGGGAAATAATTCTAGATTTGAAGCTTTCGTGACTGCAAGGATTCATATTCTTAGGTTTTTTGGTAAAGTCACGTAGGTAAAACATTAAAAAAGTAAAATAAAATAAAACAAAGGGAAATAACTTTACCGAAAGAACCAAGAATATGAATCCCTGCAGTCACGAAAGCTTTAAATCGAAATTTAACTAGTTACTTTGTACGAAGATGAATTGCCAAAGTTATCAACAGCAGGTGTGTATCGGATTAATTAATTACGTTGCAGATGCTACCTTGGACAGACGGGACTTAACATTGTCGTTCGACTAAAAGAACACCAAATAAATATTACATACTCTCAAACACAACTGTCCGCAGTTGCAGAACACGCTTTGCCAACAAGGACACTCAATAGATCTTGATAACCGTTGAAGTGTCGTGTAAAACGAATTATTACTGGCCAAGACTAATTCGAGAATCCATTGAAATTGAGAGAAATACTAATAACTTTAACCGCTCTGACAGCTACAGCCTTAGTGTGGCCTGGAAGCGTATTATTAAGTTATACATCTTACAACTGCATTTCTTATAGAGGAAACGCGTGCTAATTAACTGATTACTAATCTATTATATAATGACAATACCCCCCCCCCCTCTCCTCCGCCTCTGATCTCTGCACCTGATGGGTTCAGTGATGACGTCCTGCTGCTGCTGCTCTATCTAAGACCAGAAGCAGGTGGATTGCTTCACTATTCCGGCAAATCGCCCGATGATGCTGCTTGATATAATTACCAGACGAAACGTCGTACTACTCAGATTGTAAATGTTGTGGGTTTATTCTCCAACACACCGGTGGGTTGAAGTATAGTAAACTAAGTGGCGCGTTTTGTTTACGTGACAAATCCCTTACTAATTGCCTGCGTCGGGTGGTGGAGGGTTACGACACATTTATACTTACGCGATCTAACCCAAAACACATTTGTTATGAATAATATTGGTCGCGAAAGCCTGCCACGTGTTAAACACGACCCTATACACTACACTATACACTACGCTATACACTATACTACACACTACCCTATACACTACACTATACACTACCCTATACACTACGCTATACACTATACTACACACTACACTATACACTACCCTATACACTACGCTATACACTACACTATACACTACGCTATACACTACACTATACAACACACTACCATATACACTATACTACACACTCCACTATACACTTACACTATACACTACACTATACACTACGCTATACATAGCAGCAGCAGGAGCAGCTGCTGCATCCGCTGCTGCTGTAGTATTTCGGATTAAAGCGAAGGAAAGCGAATATTTCGCTGACAAGGTATGCGCGTCTGCCTACAAACTTAAGTGCCGCTGCACTTACTCAATAAACCCGCGGGCGTTTGCAACGCGTGCGTGTCCGCAATTTATTTCTCGCACTACAAAGACAAAGATGCCCCGTGTAGCCTTGAACAGACCTTTGTGACAAGTGCTGTTGGCGAGTAGCAGGCTGGCACGGCACACGAACGCTCTCACTTTCGATATGAGGAATTGACAGTGGGGCTGTGTGAACTTTTAAATATCGATTGAAAACTCGATTTCTTCACAACTGCTCCTTGGTTTGTTCCATTTGTTGTCCTGCCCCCGCACCTATGATGAGCACGGTTGGGCTACGTACGGTGCGAAAGAAGTTTAACACACACGTAGAGACCCAGAGGAATACTTAGAGAGACATTGAAGGCACGTCCCACGGTAGTGCGACTGTGACCGTGCAACCCAAACTGCGGACCATACAGCAAACCCACAGAGACGCACAGAAATGCATGGAGACTCAAATAAATGCGTAGAGATCATGGAAATACATGCAGATACGTTGAAGACCGCACCTCCGATTAGCACGGCTGTCTACGTACGGTGCGAAAGAAGTACAACCGTACATACTACTATACACTACACTATACACTACACTATACACTACACTATACACTACACTATACACTACTATACACTACACTATACACTACACTATACACTACACTATACACTACTATACACTACACTATACACTACTATAAACTACACTATACACTACACTATACACTACTATAAACTACACTATACACTACTCTATACTATTATACACTAAATACTACACTACTATACACTAAACCAGGGGTCGGCAACCAAAATAACAAGAAGAGCCATTTCTTTCCAATTCGGTACAAAATTCAGTATTTCAAGAGCCGCAACGCATCTGAGCACATACTGTACATACGTATATATCGTCAAGAAGCAGCCCGTAAAGAGCCGCATGCGGCTCCGGAGCCGTAGGTTGCCGACCCCTGGTCTAAACTATACAATACACTAGTATACACTAAATACTACACTACTATACACTACACTATACACTACTCTATACTAAATTTTTATTTAAAGCTTTCGTGACTGCAGGGATTCATATTCTTGGTTCTTTCGGTAAAGTCACGTAGAAGGGAAATAATAAAATTATATAAATACAATAAAAAAATTCTCACGACGTTTCGACTGCAACACAAGCAATCATCAGGTGTGAAATCCACAGCAATACTTTTTTGCTGTGGATTTCACACCTGATGATGATTGCTTGTGTTGCAGTCGAAATGTCGTGAGAATTTTTTTATTGTATTTATATAATTTTATTATTTCCCTTCTACGTGACTTTACCGAAAGAACCAAGAATACTCTATACTACTATACACTAAATACTACACTACTATACACTACACTACTATACACTACAATACACTACGCTATACACTACACTATATGCTACGCTACTATACACTCTACTACTATACACTACACTATACACATACTACACTACTATATACTACACTACTATACACTACACTATAAACTATCCTACTATACACTACACTATACACTACATACTACACGACTATGCACTACACTATACACTACATTATACACTACATACTACACGACTATGCACTACACATACATAGGGTAGACGCAGGCTGGGTAGGGCTGTGTCACCTCGCCCGACCAACGGAGAGGGTGCGGAGCGATGTGATGGATGGGCGGTGTTTCATCTGCGTGGTCGTGGCGAAATGAAGGAGGTCTTGGCGGTAGCCTGGAGTTTGTTGTTGCTGGTATCGCTATCGGGAGAGTGTGTGAAAGGTGTACATTACTTCAAGCCAATAATAGCCCTGGCGTGTTGTGTGCAGTGAGCGAGCGTGCGGCGAGTGGAATCAGAGCGTCCGAACTCCGTGGTTGTTTTCAGGAGGCAGAGAGGGGTGTATGGGGAGGTGCAGGAAGAGACGAGAGAGTGTGTCAGAGCAGAAGGACGAGTCTTCCGTTTTTTTGTTTCATCTCCTGCACGAAGAGCCGGGCCGCCGAGTCGCCGTGGACATTTAAAATTTTAAATCTCCAGTCACCCGCGAGCAGTGAAACTCCGCGTCGAGAGGACATCACCACCCATCGTGGTGGTGTGAAGAGGACATCACCACCCATCGTGGTGGTGTCAAGAGGACATCCCCACCCATCGTGGTGGTGTCAAGAGGATATCACCACCCATCGTCATCGTCGTCTCTTCGTCTCCTCCTGCAAAACCCGTCGCATAAATCGAGGGACTACTTGCGAATAAGCGCAGACCAGCAGCTGCAGTTGCAACAGTAGCTAGCAGCAGTAGTAGCAGCAGACCAGCTGTAGTGGCAACAGTAGCTAGCAGCAGTAGTAGCAGCAGACCAGCTGTAGTGGCAACAGTAGCTAGCAGCAGTAGTAGCAGCAGACCAGCTGCAGTGGCAACAGTAGCTAGCAGTAGTAGCAGCAGGCCAGCTGCAGTGACAACAGTAGCTAGCAGCAGTTCTTAGTAGCAGCAGACACAGCTGCAGTGGCAACAGTAGCTAGCAGCAGTAGTAGCACCAGACCAGCTGCAGTGGCAATAGTAACTAGCGGCAGTAGCAGGCGTAGTAACAGCAGCACTAGTAGTAGCAGCAGCAGCGGTAAGTAGCAACAGCAGTAGTAGCATACATTCTAGCAACCACAGTAGCAGCAACAGCAGTAGCAGCAGACATTCTAGCAATAGCAGTAGTAGCAAACATTCTAGCAATAGCAGTAGCAGCAACAGCAGTAGCAGCAGACATTCTAGCAATAGCAGCAGTAGCATACATTCTAGCAACCGCAGTAGCATCAACAGCAGTAGCAGCAGACCAGTAACAGCAGCAACTTGGGTCCCTGCACGCTTCTTGAGCCCTAAAATCGAATTCCGAATCGCGGGTTCTGTTTGTCGTTGTCATTTGAGAGAAATCGAGAGAGAGAGACAGAGTGCGGAGAAAAAGACAGACAGACACAACACGGAGAGAGATATAAGGAGAGAGAAATGTTTATTCGTGTTTAGTTTAAATCGTAGTAGTAGGACTTTCGCGACCGATATGAGTTTACGACTTCAGCAGCACGAACTGATTGTGTGTTAGAGAGTAAACACCCAGAACAAACAACAACAACCAGGTTCATCAGACGATTATCCATAATTGTGAAGAAAGTCTTCCTGTTTGGATCTTAAATAGAGGCAATCATCGACTTACGAACACTCGCACTTAAGAACACTCGCACTTAAGAACACTCGCACTTAAGAACACTCGCACTTAAGAACACTCGCACTTAAGAACACTCGCACTTAAGAACACTCGCACTTAAGAACACTCGCACTTAAGAACACTCGCACTTAAGAACACTCGCACTTAAGAACACTCGCACTTAAGAACACCCGACTTACGGACACCCGACTTACGAACACCCGCACTTACGAACCCAACAACAACAACAACGTCTACAATTCGAGAAGCTGTGTGACTTTTCACCGGTGATCAAAACCAACAGACAAACAACAAACATCAGGCGTTTCGCCGGCATTGCGAAGAGAAGATCGCCGACCGCACTCCACCGATCGCCGTTCGCGATTAGCTTCGACATGAGGTCGCACGCTCAGCTCGTGAAGGCCGCCATCGTCTTCCTGATGGGCAGCTGCGTGTGGCTGCTGCTCCTTAGCCTCGTTTGGACTTCGCAGCTGCAGCCCAGGTGAGGTCGGATTTTGTCCGTTCCGTTCGCATTCGTCCTGCGTTACTACGTGAAAGACGCGTGGTGTGGGTTAGGGGGGTGATGCCTGTTTGTTCTTCCAAGCACTCATAAAATCGCATCATCCCACTGCACAAACCATGGCATCGGCAGCAGCGGATACCCTCATGGTGCCGCACATCATGGGAAATTAAGAATTGCCTCCGGCAGTGTAGAGTGTGTGCGTGACCGTGGCTCATCCGGATACCCTGATGTTAATGACATCAACCAGCATTATCGAACTTCTTTCGATTTAAAGCTTTCGTGACTGCAGGGATTCATCGTCTTGGTTCTTTCGGTAAAGTCATCACGTAGAAGGGAAATAATAAAATTATAAAAATAAAACATTATAAAATACAATTCTCACGACGTTTCGGCCACAACGCAAGCAGCCGTCCTCAGGTGAAGAACAGGGCTGTCGGAAAGACAGCGTCTGAATGACGCTGTCTTTCCGACAGACCTGTTCTTCGTCTGAATGACGCTGTCTTTCCGACAGACCTGCTCTTCACCTGAGGACGGCTGCTTGCGTTGTGACCAAAACGTCGTGAGAATTGTATTTATTATGTTTTATTTTTATTATTTTGCTATTTCCCTTCTACGTGACTTTACCGAAAGAACCAAGAAGATTATCGAACTTCTTTCGCACCGTACGTAGCCAACCGTGTGTTGTCTTAGTGTGGCCTGGGCCTGTTTTTGGTGTTGTCTTTCTGCCTTGCACCAAGGTTGCATCTGGTGTTGACAAATCGGCAGCAAATGCTGCACTTTTGTGCCTTTCCTTTCCTACGCATTGCACTCCTGTCGGTGCTTTTCGTCTTCGCGTTTGTTTGCCGAAACTTTCTGACCCGCCTCCTACTGGAAACAAGTGCTTCATAGCTCATCGGATTCCCGGCTACTGGAGACGCGTTACGTACGTACGTACATTGAACTCGACAAACGCTGCACACTGAGAAACCACGCGCCGACGAGTTCACTGAGAACTTCGGATCGGCTTCTTCAGAGTACGAGCGAGGACAGAGGCTCTGTTCCCTGGGCTGTTGCCACTTTGCAGGTGCCAGACTGTGGAAAACATACCACGGTGGCTAGGAGATGTTAACTACCTCGCCTGGTATGGAGGAGGTCATTGGTTCGACCGCTATATATTTGGAGTTTGCGCGTCTTTATCTATCATCATCGTCATAATCAAGGTGGCTAGGATATCTTAACTAAACTCGCCTGGTATGGAAGAGGTTCTGAGTTCGATCTTGACCCTGATGCCTGCTGCTGTATATTTGAAGCTTGTGTGTCTTTATCTATCATCATCATCATAATGACGGTGGCTAGGATATCTTAACTAACTCGCCTGGTATGGAAGAGGTTCTGAGTTCGATCTTGACCCTGATGCTTGCTGCTGTATATTTGTAGTTTGTGTGTCTCTTTCTCCCCGTGGCCACGTGGATTTTTCTCCGGGCCCTTTCAGTATTTTTTGTTCACGTGCTTTGAGTATTTGTGGTAGCCAGGTCGTTTCTGAGAAAGGGCTACCTATTTGCTCAGTGGAGGCCTAACCGGTTTCATAGTTGTTGGCAGTTTAAGTAGAAACGGAAGGTCCCGCGCCTCAAAATTTTCCACATTTTTGATGCCCGTTTCAGTGATTGATGGCATTTTTGAAATTGCCAATTGCGCGCGAAGTCTGAGCTGACAGTGACTCAAAGCCCGCCTCGAGGCGGAATAAACTCTGCACTGGGGGGTGGCAATGAGCTGCCTCCTCTGAGAACCTGGGTTAGAGCCCTGGGCCATGGTGTCCTATTGGTCTCATGGGGTCATAATGGACGTGTCACAGACACTGAACCAGCTACTCTGTGAACATGGGTTCGAGCCCTGGGTCTGGGTGTCCTCTCTGTCTCTCATGGGGTCATGATGGACGTGTCACAGACACTGAACCAGCTACTCTGTGGACATGGGTTCGAGCCCTGGGTCTGGGTGTCCTCTCTGTCTCTCATGGGGTCATGATGGACGTGTCACAGACACTGAACCAGCTACTCTGTGGACATGGGTTTGAGCTCTGGGTCTGGGTGTCCTCTCTGTCTCTCATGGGGTCATAATGACCTGCCACAGACACTGAGCCAGCTCCTCTGATAACCTAGGTTCGAGCCCTGGGTCTGGGTGTCCCTGTCTTTCATGGGGTCATAATGGACGGGTGTTGACTGTTGTGTTAGCCGGCTCTCTGTGCTGTATTGCATTATATTTCTAAGTTTACAAAGTTTGTTTTTTCTCATTCATTCCTACCTCATGATGGTTGCTTGTGTTGCAATCGAAACGTCGTATTCTATTATCATTTAATTTATTTTCTTTCTACGTGACTTTACTGAAAGAACTAAAAAATAAGCTATTTTAAATCACAATGATTTAGTGATTGTCATGATGATTTCGTGATTACATGGATTATTTAGTGTTCATAATGATTTAGTGATTTTTCGGCGTTTTCTTTTTAATCCGATGCTCCCTCCCTCCCTTCCCCACCCACCCGCCCGCCGAAGCCGCCGGATAATCGATGATCGACCGCGATGGTTGACGGGGATCTTTGCTAGATTTGAAGCTTTCGTGACTGCAAGGATTCATATTTTTAGGTTTTTTCGGTAAAGTCACGTAGGTAAAAATTTTAAAATTAATAAAAGTAAAATAAAAAATAAAATAAAAATCACGACGTTTCGGAAGCAACACAAGCTTCCGTCTTGTGTTGCCTCCGAAACGTCGTGATTTTTAAAATTTTAATTTAATTTACTTTTATTAATTTTAATCACGACGTTTCGGAGGCAACACAAGCTTCCGTCTTGTGTTGCCTCCGAAACGTCGTGATTTTTATTTTATTTTTTTATTTTACTTTTAATAATTTAAATTTATTTTTATACCTACGTGACTTTACCGAAAGAACCATAAGAATATGAGGATCTTTGCCTGCGTCTCCTTTTTTATTTGGAGCGTCCACCTGGGTTTGGGGCAGTGCACGTGGTTGCGTGAGCTATGCGGGCGCCCCCAGTCTGGAAGGGTGGGTGGGTACGTACGTGCCTCGCTCCGAGCGGCGCTGCCGATGAAGGGGACATCTGAGAGGTTAGGGAAAGGCATGTGCGGTGACGCAAGGGGGTTAGACGCACTGCTGAGCTGGCAACTGTCCGTACGTATGATAAATAGTTTATATTTTTTGAAAGTTGGATCGTGTAAATATAAACGCATCGTTAAACCCGCCCCCACCCGACGCGGCCGATTAGTAAGGTTTGTCGTGTAAAAAAAACTGCCAATTAGTTACTAGTTCAGCACCACCGGTTGTGTGTTGGAGATTAAACCCGCAACATTTACAATTCGAGTACCGTCACATTCCGCTGGTGATTACAACAACAGCAGCCAGCTTCATCAGGCGAATTTTCCAGAATTGTGAAGAAAGTCTTCCTCCTGTTTTGGTCTTAAATAGAGGCAGTTCTCGACTTACCAACACTAGACTTACAAACGCCCAACTTACGAACACCCGCACTTACGAAAACCCGACTAACGAACACCACACTTACGAACAATAGACTTACGAACACCCATACTTACGAAAACCCGACTAACGAACACCCGCACTTACGAACAATAGACTTACGAACACCCATACTTACGAAAACCCGACTAACGAACACCCGCACTTACGAACAATAGACTTACGAACACCCATACTTACGAAAACCTGCCTTTTAAACACTCGACTTATGGCCCAGCCGACTTACGAACACCCGCACTGACGAACACCCAACTTACAAACATCTGCACTTGCGAACATCTGCACTTGCGAACACCTGCACTTGCGAACACCTGCACTTACAAAGACCCGCACTGACGAACACCCAACTTACGAACAGCCACATTTACGAAGACCCGACTTACAAACACACACACTTACGAACATCTGACTTACAAACACACGCACTTACGAAACAGCTTCCATAAAAAATATTAAAAAAATTAACATTGACTTAAAACGCAAACTTCGCACGAGCAAACTGGACCGCGGAACTATTTTGTTCAGCCGAACAGGCTGAGACCACCAATCCACACGGCACTCGATCACAGTGGCTATGCGGCTGAATCCAGGCTCCAGGTATTTGCATTGCTCCAAGTGGCTTTCTAATTCTAGATTTGAAGCTTTCGTGACTGCAAGGATTCATATTCTTAGGGTTTTTCGGTAAAGTCACGTAGGTAAAAAATTTAAAATTAATAAAAGTAAAATAAAAAATAAAATAAAAATCACGACGACAGCTATCGTGCTGTGACGGTTCCACCTGAAGACGGAGGCTTGTGTTATCTCCGAAACGTCGTGATTTTTATTTAATTTTTATTTTACTTTTATTAATTTACATTTTTTACCTACGTGACTTTACCAAAAAACCTAAGAATATGGCTTTCTAATATCTCATTGATTTTGATTCTGTACTATGCCATTGTGTTTTATGTCGTATTTGCATTACAATTAATATGAAAGATTAAAATTAGTATTTTTTAGAAAGCGTGCTAATTTGATAATTAATCCATATTTAACTTATTTTTTCTTGTTTTTTTTTGTTCAATATTGCGATAATGATTTTCCATCTATTATATTACTTATCTGTTATTGTTCATTGTTAATTTATTTCACTGTGACTTTCTGCATATGTCTGGGAATCGGTGTTGTTGATGAAACCCGATTTAAAATCTTATTAGCTCACAGGGTAATAAAAATAAACTGAACTGAACTTCTAATATGTGGAAGTCACTGCCTACAGCATCCCACTATGCAAGAACCTTCAGAGCCAGGGTGAACATCCGACTCCAAACGTATTTAATGAATTGAACGAGGTAAAACTGATGGAAAAACACAGCACAAAATACAGCATCTGTTAATACTTGGAATATCAATACAACGAATGAACACTGCAGCAGCATAACATTGTCTTGAATAACATGAAACTCAACAATAGGTTATGGATGGACCAGGCACCTATAGTACATTAGCACTGAATAGCTATACAAGAGGATAAGCTACTGTGTTAAATAAGGGCACATCGTGTAATCACCATACTGTAGCCTAAATGTACAGCACTACATATAACACTGAACTGTGGATGAGATACTTCTTCATCCTTGCTCTCAAGATCACATTAAAGTTACATGGGTACAAATCTAACTCGATTGATTCAATTACAAGTAACATTCACAATAATGCAAGTGACAGGCTTCGTTGTTCATATTTATCATAACAATTTAACAGCATTATAAAGGCTTTTACAGCATTATAAGCACATTCCTAACATTATAACAGAATTCCCAGTATTGTAAGAACATAAAACGAACTTACAGACAATGCGTCTTAAAGTCCCACAATGAACAGATGCACCTGTCTTCACTGAGATGCTATTTGTGCCTCCATTTTGTACTCTGTGTAATGACTGATACCCTGCCTCATGGCTTAGAGAATGTCAAATCGTAACTTCCTGATCAACATCATATCAGGAAATTCCTGTGTACGCACACCTCCACACCTGCCGTGAGGCAGAACAGACTCACTGCAGCATCCATTCGGAGGTTCGGTAAATGCTCTTCCTTCCGAAATTAGAAAGCCACTAGGAGCCATGCATTTTTAAATCATCATAGGTCAGTGGTTCTTAACCTTTTTGGAGGTACTGAACCCCACCAGTTTCATATGCGCATTCACCGAACCCTTCTTAATTGGAAAAATAAAATATGATTTTTTGAAATTCAAAACATAGGTGTATATGTTTTACTGGTGCACAATCATGAGTCAGGTGTGTGTCTTAACCTCCGCCGAACCCCTGAGACTGACTCACCGAACCCCTGGGGTTCGATCGAACCCAGGTTAAGAACCACTGCTCTAGGTGGACAAACTCATTACTTTAGAACTGCTTTATATGTGTTTAGTTGGTTGTCCTCCCCCCTGCACTTCCGATTAGCGTGATTGCCTATGTACAGTGAAAAGAAGTTCAACATACATATAGAGATATCCAGAGGTGTGGACTCGAGTCATGTGACTTGGACTCGAGTCAGACTCGAGTCATGAATTTGATGACTTCAGACTCGACTTGGACTTGCATAACAATGACTTTGTCCCACCTCTGAGGTGTGGACTCGAGTCATGTGACTTGGACTCGAGTCAGATTCGAGTCATGAATTTGATGACTTCAGACTCGACTTGGACTTGCATAACAATGACTTTGTCCCACCTCTGAGGTGTGGACTCGAGTCATGTGACTTGGACTCGAGTCAGACTCGAGTCATGAATTTGATGACTTCAGACTCGACTTGGACTTGCATAACAATGACTTTGTCCCACCTCTGAGGTGTGGACTCGAGTCATGTGACTTGGACTTGAGTCAGACTCGAGTCATGAATTTGATGACTTCAGACTCGACTTGGACTTGCATAACAATGACTTTGTCCCACCTCTGAGGTGTGGACTCGAGTCATGTGACTTGGACTCGAGTCAGATTCGAGTCATGAATTTGATGACTTCAGACTCGACTTGGACTTGCATAACAATGACTTTGTCCCACTTCTGGAGATATCTGGATGATATATTGGTGGTCTGGCCACATGGCAAAGGTACACTTAACGAATTTCTAAATCATCTCAACTCACAAAACCCATCCATTCAGTTTACTATGGAAGTGGAAGTTGACAGAACTTTTCCATTTTTTAGTTTGTTGTCCTTCCCCCACACCTCAGATGAACACGGTTAGCTACGTACGGTGCGAAAGAAGTTCCACACGCGGACATGGATTGATGTTGCTGCTAAATGATGTACGTACGCATTTTTGTACCTTTTTTCGCACCGTACCTGGCCAACCGCGGCTTAATCGGAGGTGCGTGTCTTGCCCCGCATCTCTGATTAGCATGGTTGTTTACGTACGGTACGAAAGAAGTCCAACGTGCACACGTACGTACGTACGCGGATTGATGATGGTGGTGGTGGATTGTGTCCGCTTGCTGTGCGTCTCATTCACGTGTGTAGGCTGACGCCGAGGCTGGCACCCCAAATGGGTTGCGTGTGCCAGGACCGCGTGGAAATCTCCAACAATAACCGCGTGGACGTCACCAATAAGCCGTCTCTGAAGTAAGGACACGGGCATCGATGAAAGTTCCAGGATAGGAGTCTGTTTGGATGGTCCACGAGGCAAATTTTTTGTCTTATCAACGATTATTTAATTTTACCAGGTAAGGGCCCCAAATGGGCTGCCATAGAACCAAGTGGGCTTACCATCGTCATCATCACCACCGTGTGGACATTTTATAGCAGCCAAATACTCTAAATGCATTGGTAGAGGGTGGGTGGGTGAGTGGTGGGTGTGTGAGTGGTGGGTGTGTGAGTGGTGGGTGTGTGAGTGGGTGGGTGTGTGAGTGGGTGGGTGTGTGAGTGGGTGGGTGAGTGGGTGTGTGAGTGGGTTGGTCGTTGGTGGGTTGGTCGTTGGTGGGTGGATAGGTGGTGGGTAGGTGGTGGGTGGTGACTGCGTCAGTGGCTTTCCGCTTTTTTAAACCCTTACCTCTCTCTACCTTTTACTATTTTTATTTGACCAGGTAAGGCCCACTGAGCTACATAGCTCTTATTCAGATAAAACTTGGCTATCACAAATTATAGCTCAAACAAGTGGCTTATCATCGTCGTCATCGTGTGGGAATTTATAGCAGCAGACAAATTATCTAGACTTCTCCAAGACAGAGGTTCTCTGCAAGCCATCTGGCTACCATGAGAGATTCGTTCACGTGGCTATCCACATATACAAACACAGAGACAATTTCAATCGAGAAGATGGATTCTGGCTTAGCAATCATTGGAAGGATTTGATAAACCATTTTGGGTCTTAAATTATTGTGTTCACGCTTACGGTGACTTTCAGACCGCATTCCATTCTCTTGTTCTCCCCCTCCTCTGTTCCGAACATAGATGGACTCGTCCATCTGACCAACTGCCAAATCGCTGTCCGTGGTGCTGACGTTAAGAAAAAAAACGCCACTTTTTTCAAATTTTCTTGCTGTGGATTTCACACCTGATGATGATTGCTTGTGTTGCAGTCGAAACGTCGTGAGAATTTTATTGTTTTATATTTTTATTATTATATTATTTCCCTTCTACGTGATTTTACCGAAAGAACCAAGAATATGCGTGGATGTTCATTCTAAATGTGGAGGGATGGAGGGAAAAACATTAGAGCCCGGAGAAAAATCCACGCGACCATGGGGATAGAGAGAGAGATGCAAACTCCAAATATACAGCAGCAGACGTCAGGGTCGGGATCGACCCCACGACCTCCTGCATACCAGGCGAGGTAGTTAACATCTGCTAGATCTCATCCGGAAATCAATCTCCTAGATGTTAACTACCGCAGTCTTAGACTGCCCATGGGCATCGTGAGCTCGGAGCGGCCTCTGGTCGATGACGATCGCCGTTGATGTTCTTTCTGCTATTGTTGTTGTTGCTGCTGTTGTTGATGTTGGTGTTGATGTTGCTGCTGTTGTTGATGTTGCTGCTGCTGTTGTTGCTGCTGTTGTTGATGTTGCTGCTGCTGTTGTTGCTGCTGTTGTTGATGTTGCTGCTGCTGATGTTGTTGATGTTGCTGCTGTTGTTGATGTTGCTGCTGTTGTTGATGTTGCTGCTGCTGTTGTTGATGTTACTGCTGCTGTTGTTGATGTTGCTGCTGTTGTTGATGTTGCTGCTGTTGTTGATGTTGCTGCTGCTGTTGTTGCTGCTGTTGTTGATGTTGCTGCTGTTGTTGATGTTGCTGCTGCTGTTGTTGATGTTGCTGCTGTTGTTGTTGTTGCGCTCAGTTGCAGGACGGAAGCGCAAACGGCGGTGGAGATGGCGTGCACGCTGAACCTCCAGAGGATCGCCGTGCAGGGGATTCCGGCCAAGTGAGTCGGCCGACCACGCGCATGTGTGTATCCGGTGTGTGTGTGTGTGTAACTCCGTGTGTGTGTGTGTAACTCCGTGTGTGTGTGTAACTCTGTGTGTGTGTGTGTAACTCTGTGTGTGTAACTCTGTGTGTGTAACTCTGTGTGTGTGTAACTCTGTGTGTGTGTGTAACTCTGTTTGTAACTCTATGTGTGTAACTCTGTGTGTGTAATTCTAGTGTTGCAAAAACACTCCCCTACCTCCTCGTGGTGCCGGACGGGCAACGCTGTCGTGGACAGTGCTGTGGGGGGGTTGGGCCAATTCCGATTGGCCTTTCCCCTCTGGACGTTTGTCACCACCACAGCGGCAAAATGGGGGCGCTGGACGGGTACCACAAAACCACGTAAGAAATATTGAATTAATAAGCTTCTGTCGGAGGCCCCGAGGGGGACAGGCGTCATTTGGCGGAGCCAGGAGATTGAATCTTTACCCTCGGGGCTCCTCCAGAAACAACAAAAAGCCACTACGGATGGCCACGTGGAATGTTCGAACGCTCACTGCGGAGGAGAGGCTGCCACTCCTCTGTCGGGAGCTGGACCGGTACCGCCTGGATCTCTGTGGTATTCAGGAGGTCCGGTGGACCGGCTCTGGCTCCTGCCACCATGAGGAGTGGACAGTCCTCTGCTCGGGGCAGGAGACTACCAAACAACAGGGAGTGGCTCTTCTTCTGAACAAAAAAATGAAAAGGACATGGGAGCGTGGCGGTGAGGTGTGGGAAGATGTAAGCCCCAGGCTACTATGGGCACGTCTTCCCATCAACCTGAGGCGGGGAGTGGTGGTCATGGTTACTTATGCCCCCACCGAAGACGAACATCCATGGAGGGATGCAGGCAAGGCCGATGAGTCAGATGCCTTCTATGACCTCCTGTCACAGGTGCTGGCTAAAGTGACCCCTCGGGATAATCATCTTGTTGGGTGACTTCAATGTCCGAGTTGGTCATGATGCTGGCACCTGGTCTAGAGTGATTGAAAGGTATGGGCCAGATCAGCTCAATAACAACCGTAGGAGGCTGCTAGATTTTTGTGCAGCCCATGGGCTTGTAATTACCAAGACGCTGTTCCGGCATGCATTCCGGGTCCAAGCAAGAACATCTGCTGGACTACATAGTGACAGACCAGTGGATGCGAGCTCATGTCATTGACACCAGGACCTACCGTGGAGCTGATCTTCCCTCTGACCATCGACTTGACATCTGTAAGATGCGCCTGCCATTCTTCCACTCCGGTAGTGGGTGTACACTCAGGACTCCATGCAAACCTAAGGTGGCCTGGTCTCAGCTAGCTGATGAAAGTTGCAAGCGAGAATTTAATCATCGCTTGCGACTGGGGTTGGCATCGTCCCCCACTCCTCCAGATGTTGAGGGTAAATGGGCGAGGTTTAGGACTGTGACTCAGGCAGCCACAATAGCTGCTTTGGGTACACGGTCCAGACTTCCCCAGAGACCCTGGCTGACAGAGCAGTTGTTAAGAATGGCTGAGAAAAAGCGACAGGCCCACTCTCATTGGCTACAGCATTACACATCGGAGAATGAGGAGGCTTACCACAGCCTTCGCTCGGAGGTTCGGAGAGCCGTGAGGCGCTGCAAGGATGGGTGGTGGTCGCTGGTCGCTGAGGAGATGGAGTCTGCCTCAATGGTCTGCAATCACAAATCACTATTTAACTCCATCAAAAAAGTAACCTGCAGCACCACACCTATTACCATCATTAGGGGAAAAACGGTGATCCAATCTCCGACCCTCAAGAACAGGTTTGCAGATTTGCTGAGCATTTTTGTGAAGTCCTGGGGGAGGGAAAATCTCTCGACATGGAAAACATCATGGAACAAAGTGGGGAGGACCCTGCTGAGACTGCGGTGCCTCAAATATTGGAGGAAGAAGTCACCCCCTGTGAGTGGCTGGCTGAGGTGCCATCTGTTGAGGAAGTACTAAAGGTGATCCAGAGTCTGAGACCAGGAAAGGCACCGGGCAGAGATGGTCTCCCAAGCGAAATGCTGAGTGAGGGAGTTTGTGCTCAGACTGCCCTACATGACATCATCACAACAGTCTGGACCAATGGACGGGTTCCGCAGGATTGGAAGGATGCCCTTGTGGTCCCCCTCTTTAAAAAAGGGGACCGCACAGACTGTAACAACTACAGGGGCATCTCACTCCTCAGTGTGCCGGGAAAGGTCCTGGCAAGGATTATTCAACATCGCCTTGCTAGGCACGCTGAGGAGAGGCTTGCGGAGCCTCAAAGTGGTTTCAGGAAAGAGCGATCCTGAACAGATGCCATATTTTTTGTCCGTTTGCTACAGCAGAGGTGTAGGGAATTCCAACAAGACCTACATCTTTGCTTTATTGATCTGGTCAAGGCCTATGATACCATCAGTAGGCCTGGGCTCTGGGCTGTTCTTCGTGTTTTCAGAGTCCCTGACCCTCTGCTCATGATCATTAAGGACCTTCATGATGGTGAGCGGGCCCGGGTAGAACTACATGGCCGGGAGTCAGAGCCATTCCCTGTACACCTTGGGGTGCGACAGGGATGTCCTCTGGCTCCCACATTATTTAACATCTATTTTGACGATGTAGTTCATGAAGCCTTCAATAGCTGTACCGGAGTAATTTTGATTTGGTACAGATATAGTTGGAGGCTGATCGATGCCCGAGTGCAGTGAAGGGATGGCTCCCTATTGGTCAACCACGTTATGTATGCCGATGATTTGGTAATTGCTGCTCATTCAGAGGAGGAGTTGGAGACGCTTCTACTGAAACTGGAGTGTGCGACTAAGAGTTGGGGCGTTACCATCAGCCCCACCAAAACTAAGCTGTTTTTCCAACCATGGAGAAACAACCTCTTGAGACTCCGATCAAAAGCACCACATTACCATACATAGCAGGAGTTACCAAAAAGATTTCCAAAATCTTAAACAAACACAAGATCCAGGTCTGATTCAGTACAGTACACTAAATCCGTGATCTGATCCCATCCGTAAAGGACGTCATTCCTGAAGTACCCTGGAGTCCACAAACTGAGTTGCATTTGTGGTGATTGCAGTGGCGGCTCCTGCAAAATCTCTCAGGGGGGGCAAATGTCTGGATGATTGATAAGGATAAGGTCCACCCATGCAATGGATAAATTAACAGCTTAAGCATGTAAAGGCAACTTCACTTCTTTAATATTAATGAAAAATAAAGTGACTCTTACAATACATATTGTTTGTTTCTATATTATTACAATCCACTCAGTTTCTTTTATTAAAGATTCCACTAGGTAGTGACAAATATTGTTGACTGAAACGTGCTTACGTATGATGACGTAAGCACGTTAGTGCGAGCCCTCCCGGAAGCCATAGAGAATGCACTGCAGTGCCCGCCATTCGAAAAAAAACATCTTTGAATGTAAGTGTATGGGAACACTCTGGGCGATTCTCAGCCAGAGTGAAATCGCCCAAAAAGAGGCGGCACTCCACAAAACGTGACATGACGCTGATTGGACTATATCCAGAGGCACAGTAACGGCTGAGATTGGTGGTGCGTCGCCCAATCGCCCTAATGAAGAAACCGCCCCTGGGTGATTGTTACATTGGGGAAACGAAACGACATGCATCTGACTGCATTCGCGAGCACAAGTCAGATTTGAAACACGTTAGGACGAATTCTTCTGCCGTAGCTGACCACTGCTACAACGCGGTGGGCTCTCATGATATTGTTTTCTTCGATACCAAAGTGCTCTGCAAGCCGTCTGGATACCACCAAAGATTTGTCCATAAAGCCATCCAGATATACAAACATAGACACAACTTCAACCGAGAAGATGGATTCAAGTTGAGCAATTATTAGAAGGATATTATTAGCCAAGTTAAACCTTAGCTGCCTTATAGTTTATATTCATATCCACATCTCCAGTCTTTTACTCCCAGCCTTGCACACTACCATGAATAGGAAATTTGACGTGCAGTGTTTCGATCGTGCAGATTTGCCGCCCCAACCCTCTCCCCTGCCCCCCCACACACAACGTACTAGCACAGCTTTAGTTCGAACTCTAGGAACATCCTTGCCGCTCTCCCCGCCCCCACACTCACCCTGACTCATCCCCCTCCCCCCGCCCCCTCAACTATATAATCCCTTGTTACAGCCATCTCTTTGGCCTACTTCAGCGATTGTTTTCGCTGTGGTGGTCCCCACCTGATGAAGGACGCTTGTGTTGCGCCCGAAACGTCGTGTTTTTATTTAGTTGTTTTCCTTTTAATTTTATCTTATTATTTTCACCTACGTAACTTTACCGAAAGAACCAAAGAGTATGGATCATTGCAGTCACGAAAACTTCAAATCTAGAACTGAGTGGACTTGCCGATGACGGGTACCAGTGGTGTCAAGATCGGCCTCAGTGGAGGAGGCTCGTGAAGGACGCTACTGGGCAGTTGGAGGCAGTCGCCCTCCAACAACAACGGAGGAGCGACGTTCACAACAACGAGCGGAGCGCCGGGTGGCTAAAGCACAACAAGTTGGCACAGTAGGGGGCACAGGTGGTGCATCAGTCAGTCATCTCAGTCATCTCAGTCAGTCGACCCGTGGCACCTGGGTCTGCTCCGTGACCTCCTGCCAGCGGGCGTTCGACACTTCACGTGTCCTCAAGGTGCACATGGCCTGGCACAAGCGTCGTGGTGACGTCACCGCCACTTAGTGACGAATGGCGGTTGTTGTTGTGTGTAACTCTGTGTGTAATTCTACGTGTGTGTAACTGTGTGTGTGTAACTGTGTGTGTGTATGTGATAGGGGAGCGGTAGTGTAGCGGTTAGTGCGCTGCGCTATGAACCTGGCGACCCGGGTTCGATTCCCGCTCACGGCTAACACCAGTGACGATTATCTGAACCGGTCCTGGGCCTCCCCTAGGTCGACTCAGCCTTAAATGAGTACCTGGTGCGGTGTGTAAACATCGCCACTAGGGAGACAAAGGCGGTCGGGCGTGGTGCTGGCCACCCACCCCCTCGTGTACCGTTCCGGCCTTCATAGGTGCTCGCTAACAGCACTTGCCCCTACAGTCTGTTCAGGCTATACGGGGGATCTTTGTCTTTGTGTATGTGTAACCGTGTGTGTAACTCTGCGTGTGTCTAACTCTGCGTGTGTCTAACTCTGTGTGTGTAACTCTGTGTGTGTGTAACTCTGTGTGTGTCCAACTCTGTGTGTGTAACTCTGTGTGTGCAACTCTGTGTGTGTAACTCTGTGTGTGTCCAACTCTGTGTGTGTAACTCTGTGTGTGCAACTCTGTGTGTGTAACTCTGTGTGTGTAACTCTGTGTGTGTGTAACTCTGTGTGTGTCCAACTCTGTGTGTGTAACTCTGTGTGTCCAACTCTGTGTGTGTAACTCTGTGTGTGTGTAACTCTGTGTGTGTGTAACTCTGTGTGTGTCCAACTCTGTGTGTGTAACTCTGTGTGTGCAACTCTGTGTGTGTAACTCTGTGTGTGTGTAACTCTGTGTGTGTCCAACTCTGTGTGTGTAACTCTGTGTGTGCAACTCTGTGTGTGTAACTCTGTGTGTGTAACTCTGTGTGTGTGTAACTCTGTGTGTGTCCAACTCTGTGTGTGTAACTCTGTGTGTCCAACTCTGTGTGTGTAACTCTGTGTGTGTGTAACTCTGTGTGTGTGTAACTCTGTGTGTCCAACTCTGTGTGTGTGTGTAACTCTGCGTGTGTGTAACTCTGTGTGTGTAACTCTGTGTGTCCAACTCTGTGTGTGTGTAACTCTGCGTGTAGAACTTTACGTGTGTGTGTAACTCTATGTGTGTGTGTGACTCTGTGTGCAACTCTGTGTGTGTGTAACTCTATGTGTGTGTGTGTAACTCTACGTTTGTAACTCTGTGTGTGTAACTCTGCGTGTGGAACTCTATGTGTGTGTGTAACTCTGTGTGTGTGTAACTCTATGTGTGTGTGGAACTCTATGTGTGTGTGTAACTCTGTGTGTGTGTAACTCTATGTGTGTGTGTGTGACTCTATGTGTGTGTGTGTGTGTAACTCTACGTTTGTAACTCTGTGTGTGTAACTCTGTGTGTGTAACTCTGTGTGTGTAACTCTATGTGTGTGTAACTCTGTGTGTGTGTAACTCTATATGTGTGTGTGTGTGTAACTCTACGTTTGTAACTCTGTGTGTGTAACTCTGTGTGTGTAACTCTATGTGTGTGTGTAACTCTGTGTGTGTGTGACTCTATGTGTGTGTAACTCTATATGTGTGTGTGTGTAACTATATGTGTGTGTGTGTAACTCCGTGTGTGTGTGTAACGCTACGTGTGTGTTTGTAACTCTGTGTATGTAACTCTGTGTGTGCACGATTTAGTATTTGCACTTTAGATGCTCCTATCTCTTATCTCGACGTTTATATTCTCTTAGCTCCATGTTTAGATGCTCCTATCTCTTATCTCGATGTACGACACAACCCCCGGTGTTCGTCGTCGAAAGGTTGCCACGACGAATATCTAAACGACGTCAATCTAAGAAGTGCTTTTTGTTACAGCGGTAGTGGTAGCAGTAGTGGGTGGTGGTAGTAGTAGTGGGTCGTGGTAGTAGTAGTGGGTCGTGGTAGTAGTAGTGGATAGTGGTAGTAGTAGTGGGTGGTAGTAGTAGTAGTGGGTGGTAGTAGTAGTGAGTGGTGGTAGTAGTAGTGGGTGGTGGTAGTAGTAGTGGGTCGTGGTAGTAGCAGTGGATAGTGGTAGTAGTAGTGAGTGGTGGTAGTAGTAGTGGGTGGTAGTAGTAGTGGGTGGTAGTAGTAGTGGGTGGTAGTAGTAGTGGGTGGTGGTAGTAGTAGTGGGTGGTAGTAGTAGTAGTGGGTGGTGGTAGTAGTAGTGGGTGATGGTAGTAGTAGTGGGTGGTATTAGTAGTGGGTAGTGGTATTAGTAGTGGGTGGTGGTAGTAGCAGTGGGTGGTGGTAGTAGTAGTAGTGAGTGGTAGTAGTGGGTGGTGGTAGTAGTAGTGGGTGGTAGTAGTAGTGGGTGGTAGTAGTAGTGGGTGGTAGTAGTAGTGGGTGGTGGTAGTAGTGGGTGGTGGTAGTAGTAGTGGGTGGTGGTAGTAGTAGTGGGTGGTGGTAGTAGTAGTGGGTGGTGGTAGTAGTGGGTGGTAGTAGTAGTGGGTGGTAGTAGTAGTGGGTGGTGGTAGTAGTGGGTGGTAGTAGTAGTGGGTGGTGGTAGTAGTGGGTAGTAGTAGTAGTGGGTGGTGGAGTATAGTAGTAGTGAGTGGTAGTAGTGGGTGGTAGTAGTGGGTGGTAGTAGTAGTGGGTGGTGGTAGTAGTGGGTGGTGGTAGTAGTAGTGGGTGGTAGTAGTAGTGGGTGGTAGTAGTAGTAGTGAGTGGTAGTAGTGTGGTGGTAGTAGTAGTGGGTGGTGGTAGTAGTAGTGGGTGGTAGTAGTAGTGGGTGGTAGTAGTAGTGGGTGGTAGTAGTAGTGGGTGGTGGTAGTAGGGGTGGTGGTAGTAGGGGTGTAGTAGTGGGTGGTGGTAGTAGTGGGTAGTAGTAGTAGTGGGTGGTGGTAGTAGTAGTAGTGAGTGGTAGTAGTGGGGTGGTAGTAGTAGTGGGTGGTAGTAGTAGTGGGTGGTGGTAGTAGTGGGTGGTAGTAGTATAGTGGGTGGTGGTAGTAGTAGTGGGTGGTAGTAGTAGTGGGGGTAGTAGTAGTGGGTGGTAGTAGTAGTGGGTGGTAGTAGTAGTGGGTGGTAGTAGTAGTGGGTGGTGGTAGTAGTAGTGGGTGGTAGTAGTAGTGGGTGGTGGTAGTAGTAGTGGGTGGTGGTAGTAGTGGGTGGTAGTAGTAGTGGGTGGTAGTAGTTAGTGGGTGGTGGTAGTAGTGGGTGGTAGTAGTAGTAGTGGGTGGTGGTAGTAGTAGTGGGTGGTGGTAGTAGTAGTGGGTGGTAGTAGAGTGGGTGGTAGTAGTAGTGGGGTGGTAGTAGTAGTGGGTGGTAGTAGTAGTGGGTGGTAGTAGTAGTGGGTGGTGGTAGTAGTAGTGGTTGGTGGTAGTAGTAGTGGGTGGTAGTAGTAGTGGGTGGTAGTAGTAGTAGGGGTGGTAGTAGTAGTGGTGGTGGTAGTAGTAGTAGTGAGTGGTAGTAGTAGGGGTGGTAGTAGTAGTGGGTGTAGTAGTGGGTGGTGGAGTGAGTAGTAGTGGGTGGTGGTAGTAGTAGTGGGTGGTGGTAGTAGTAGTGGGTGGTAGTAGTAGGGGTGGTAGTAGTAGTGGGTGGTGGTAGTAGTAGTGGGTGGTAGTAGTAGTAGTGGGTGGTGGTAGTAGTAGTGGTGGTGGTAGTAGTAGTGGGTGGTGGTAGTAGTGGGTTGGTAGTAGTAGTGGGTGATGGTAGTAGTAGTGGGTGGTGGTAGTAGTAGTGGGTGGTGGTAGTAGTGGGTGGTAGTAGTAGTGGGTGGTGGGTAGTAGTAGTGGGTGGTAGTAGTATGGGTGGTAGTAGTAGTGGGTGGTGGTAGTAGTAGTAGGGGTGGTGGTAGTAGTGGGTGGTAGTAGTAGTGGGTGGTGGTAGTAGTAGTGGGTGGTGGTTGTAGTGGGTGGTGGTAGTAGTAGTGAGTGGTAGTAGTGGGTGGTGGTAGTAGTAGTGGGTGGTAGTAGTAGTGGGTGGTAGTAGTGGGTGGTGGTAGTAGTAGTGGGTGGTAGTAGTAGTGGGTGGTAGTAGTGGGTGGTGGTAGTAGTAGTGGGTGGTAGTAGTGGGTGGTGGCAGTAGTAGTGGGTGGTAGTAGTGGGTGGTGGTGGTAGTAGTGAGTGGTAGTAGTAGTGGGTGGTGGTAGTAGTTGTGGGTGGTGGTAGTAGTAGTGAGTGGTGGTAGTAGTGGGTAGTAGTAGTGGGTGGTGGTAGTAGTAGTGGGTGGTAGTAGTAGTGGGTAGTGGTAGTAGTGGGTGGCGGTAGTAGTAGTGCGTGGTAGTAGTGGGTGGTGGTTGTAGTGGGTGGTGGTTGTAGTGGGTGGTGGTGGTAGTGGGTGGTGGTGGTGGAGGCGAAGGCTGAGAGGTGACGGGAAATGGGAAAAGTCGGGACGATGCCATCAGCGACGCGAGCGTGTGTGTGTGGGGGTCACCATTTGGTGTTTGAACATCTGAATATTATTACGAGAAAGGCTAAAAAAGCTCTTCAGGTCGCGCGCGTGTTTCGGTGTCGGCGGTGCTGGTGGGGTCAATATGGGCACTCCCGGATTCAGAATCTCGGCGTGTGTGCGTTGTGTGTCTGTACGTGTGTGTGTGTACGTGTGTACGTGTGTGTGTGTACGTGTGTGTGTGCGTGCGTGTGTGTGTACGTGTGTGTGTGTACGTGTGCGTGTGTACGTGTGTGTGTGTACGTGTGTGTGCGTGTACGTGTGTGTACGTGTGTGTGTGTACGTGTGTGTGTGTGTACGTGTGTGTGTGTACGTGTGTGTACGTGCGTGTGTGTGTGTGTACGTGTGTGTGTGTACGTGCGTGTGTGTACGTGTGTGTGTGTACGTGTGCGTGCACCAGGTTCAGCCAGGAGAGCATCGTGAACGATGTGCTGAGTGTGCACGTGTGCCCCTGGGCACCCAACTTCTCCGCCACTCTCAACTTCCAGTGAGTGCTACGCAGCACACTCTCCATCATGAGCAGAATCAACATCAGAACAATCGTCATCAGCACAATCATTATCGGCACAATCATAATCGGCATAATTACCGTCGGCACAATCATCATCGGCACAATCATTAATTATCGACACAATTACCATTGGCACAATCATCATCAGCACACTCATCATCGGCACACTCGTCATCGGCACAATAATTATCTGTAAATTTATCATCATCAGCATCATCATTATCGGCAAAATCACCATCGGCACAATCATCATGAGCACACTCGCCATCAGACCAATCATCATCAGCACAATCATTATTGGCACAATCATCATCAGCACCATCGTCATCGACACAATTATCATCAGTACAATCACCGTCAGCACAATCACCACAAAGTTACGGAGCTCTTCTGTCACTGATGTCCACCCGCTTTGTATGTGTATGTTGCACTTTTTTCGCACCGTACGTAACCGACCGTGCCTATCACAGGTGCCTGGGAAGGACAACAAACTAAACACACAAAAAGCAGTTCTAAAGAAATTAGGTTTTCAATGTAGATTAGGGGCTGTCCATAAATGACGTCACGCACCTAGGGGGGGGGGGTCAGACATTTGTGACGATGTGTCACGAGGGGGGGGGGGGGGTTGAGAAATGTGACATCACATCAAAATGCGCCACTTTAAATAAATATAGACAACACGTTCTACTTAATTAAATACACCTTTTAATAAATGTTTTCTCCTACAACATCAGAGTGCAAGTTTAAAGCGATTTGAAGCATGTTTTATTTGGGGGGGGGGGGGCAGAGCTCTGTGACATCATATTTGAGGGGTGGTCTGACTTTTTGTGACGCCGTGTGACTAGTGGGGGGGGGGGGGTAAAAAATCGTCCAAAATCGCGTGACGTCATTTATGGGCGGCCCCTTACGGAAAAGTGCACAGTTCCCGGTGGCTTCCTAATATCGGCAGGAAGAGCATTTACCGAACCTCCGGGCGAAGGCTGCGGTGAGCCTCCTCGTTTCTTACATGGTGGGATGCTGTACGCAAAGCTGTCCCTTGGGGGTACACGGCGAATCGGGACCGACTGCCCCGGGCCCCGTACGACAAGATGACTTCCCAGATGTCCCTGCGTCACCTGTACCCCCCACATCTCCCCATGCCTCCTCGTATGCCCGCGTCTCCCCGTGTCCCCACGTCTCCCCGCGTTGCCCCGTGTCCTCCCGTGTCCCTGTGTCTCCCCAGTCCCCTTTCCCCGTGTCCCCGTATCTCTCCGTGTGTCTCTGCTTCCCCGTGACTCCGTGTTTCCCCGTGTCCCCACGTCTCCCCGCGTCTCCCCGCGTTGCCCCTTGTCCTCCCGTGTCCATGTGTCTCCCCGTGTCCCTATTCCCCCGTGTCCCCGTATCTCTCGGTGTCTCTGTGCTTCCTCGTGACTCTGTGTTTCTTCGTGTGCCTCCATTCTGTCTCCCCGTGCCCGCCCCCGGCTCCGTGTCTCCCCGCATCGCAGGGAGAGTCACCGGAACGCGACGGGCGGTGCGGGCCGGGTGATGGTGACGCAGACGAACTCCCCCATCAACTCCAACATAACGTACGACGCCAGCAAGAAGACGATCACAGTGGACGAAAACCTGCACAGCATTTTCATCAAGGTGCTGGCTGGCTCGCTCACTCGCCCCTTCGCTCGCTCTTCTGTTCATTCACTCGCTCATCTATTCGTTCGCTCGTTCGTCCGTTTGCTCACTTGATAGTTTGCTTGCTTTCTCGCCCCTTTGCTTGCTCACTCGCTAGCCCGCTCATTCACTCACTCGCCCGTTCATTCATTCACTCGCTCGCTCACCCATTCATTCATTCACCCGCTCGCTCGTTCGTTCGTTCGCTCCCTCGCCCGTTCGTTCGCTCATCCGCCCACTTGTCCTCTCACTCATTCACCCACTTGCCCACCGTGTGTAAAGATGCTGTCGGTCATGATGATGATGACACCCGCAGTTTTGAACCGCGGAGCCTCTGCAAATAAGCGTTAAACGTGCTACTGCTCACCCATGTCGTCATAATAACGATAATGGCTGCTACTGCTGATGATAGTGTGAGGGCCGACGTCCGTCCCACCGCCTTCGCTGGGCAGCTGGGGCGCAACGTTTGCCCCCTCCACTCCCTCGTCCACTCCCTCCTCCACCGCGCCCATTGTCCCCTGCCGGACCCCCACCGACCGGGTGATTGCCCCCCCGTGTTAGCGCCCCCTCTGAAGGACATAGCTAAATCCCTGGCTCACCACCGCACGGGGTTATTCCACACATGCACATACACTAACGCTAATGCTGCGGCGGCGGCGAGCATGCGCGCGCCCCTGCCGGCGATCAGACTCTGATGCTTAACGGCTGCGCGAATGCACGCGGACGTCTGAGGACGGTCAAATGCTAATCCGCTTGCACACAAAGACCAGCATTAAGCAGCTGCACGAATGTGCGCGCGTGCCTCTGGGTGGTTAAGCCCTAATCCGTTAATGCACAGAAACTAGCGCTAAAGCGGCTGCATGAATACGCGCGCCGGCGGGTGTTTACCCGCGACCCTTCACCTGCGTTAAGACGCGCTCTAAAGCAGCAGCGCGAACGTGCGCGCACCTGCAGGTGATACATTTTACACACACGCGCGCATGTAAACACACGCGAGCGTCGGCGAGCGGTTTTAACTCACCCCGCCCCCGACCTAATACTCGCGTGGCACGGCTGCACGGGTGCGCGAGCATCAGCGGCCGTTATTGTTTTAAATACACGCGCGCCTCACACACACACTCAAATTACCATCACCACGCCGAGGTTCCACACACACACACACAGAAATCACACTGCACCGATACTCTGTACTAAAGTTTATTAATGGCGCAAATACTCACTACCTAGGGGGGGATATTTTACGAGAAGAGCTTGGCCCAACTCTGCCTACGAACCCAGTCACTCAAACGTCCTACCTCGTACCTCAAAGCTGTACTCACGGCGTCGCACGGACGCTGTGAGAGTCGGAGGGAGAAGGACGAGAGAAAACTTTACCAATCGCTGCCTCGTAGCAGCACTCGCTGGCATCACACGGATGCTGTGAGCGGCTCGAGGAGGTAGGACGGCAGGGAGTGGGTCTTGACGGCCCAGAGGTTGAAGGCAAGAGCCCAAAATCTTCCAGGGCTACTCCTTTTATTCCCTTAACTTCAAAGGCCAGGGGTGCCATTGTACCACGTGGCCAATCATGCGCTTACCTGTGGTTACCGCCCCCTCCTGTTTCCGTGTCCTTCCTCGAGTCCACGGCGGCGGTCGCCGGCCACCCCCATTGTCCCTCGTTGCCCATTGTTTGGAAGGGCGCTTGCGATTTTCTTGCTTAATATCCCGCCCTCCGTCCTCCCCTCAATGTTGTGAGTAACTCATTGCGGTTGGCCCAGGGTTTCTGCGCCCATACAATTTTAAACCAATTTTAGGGGCATCGCAATGCCACCAATCCTGCGAGGGTTAGCCAATCTCCTGGCACCGGGTAACCGTGGGACTTTCCCTCTAGCGGCCCTTCGGATTAAAACCCGATGTGCCAGGCAATCCCCCGCCAGGACACTACGTGGGTGCAAATGCTGCGTGTGTGCGTGTGCTCGGGGTGGGGGGTAGTGGATAATCGCGGCGCTTGTGGAGTTGCTCCACGGTCGTGGCACCACAATAGCTGATGTGTATGTCTGAACTTCTTTCACACCATACATATCCAAACATGCTTATCGGAGATGCAGGGAAGGAGAACAAACTTAACACAAGTAGCACTTCAAAGAAATTCGTTTTCAATCTAGATGGTGATTTAAAAGTGCATAGCTCCCAGTGGCGTCATAATATCGGAAGGAAGAGCGTTCCAGATGGCCGCAGAAGCCCATCTAAAAGCGTGTGATGCGGTGACCATCTTTATTCGATGGCCAGCCAGAAGCTGCTGTGACGAAGACAACTGGGAGTTGTTGTCAAGTTGTTGTATGCTACTTGACGAGATCAGCGAGGTATTGTGGTTCATTTGTGGCAAGCACTTTGTGTGTAATGAACGCCACCTTGTAACGAATTCGTTTGGCAAGCGGAAGCCAATGCAGCTCAGCGAGCACTGGACGGACACGGTCGGATCTTGCAGTACCCCGTCATGACACGCGCTGGGGAATTGTGTACACGCTGCAGCTTGGTATTGTCTTTTTTAGCCAGACATCCCGTAGAGTAGCGAGTTGCAATAATCGAGCCTCGTCGATACTACGCTACACATACACCACCGCGTTGGGCTAAATCACGACCCAACAGTGGTTGAATGTGTCCGTAGAGCCCCGATGTGAACATTGCAGGACCTGATAATTGTTTTTTTACCCTTCTATCTGGCAACAAAACTGACACCTTTTTTTACAAGGAGTCATGTTGGCATAGACCACAATACCTGCAGTCATAATGCAAACAAAAACATAACTCTGATAATGTATGCACTGTACTTGAAGTTGATTGGTTCACACACGAGACAGCTTTCCTTAGAGCCTCGTCTCACATGGGTTGGACCAGATGACGCCAAAAGACGCACTATGACTGCAGGTATTGTGGTCTATGCAAACATGACTCCTTGTAAAAAAAGGTGTCAGTTTTGTTGCCAGATAGAAGGGTAAAAAAACAATTATCATATTTTTTACTGGCAAATGAGGTTCCAATGGTGTTAATTGCAGGACCTGGCCTACATTTTGCACGCGACCATCAAACGACACATCCTGGTCGAGCGTGGTGCCGAGCCTCTTCAGATTCGAGTATAAAACTGAATCCCGGAGTCCGTGACTGCTACAGCCTCATCCTCCCGCAATTCTTGTCGCCCCGAGCCCGAGTGCCAACCAGCAGAACCTTCGATTTAGCTTTGTGTTTTTCCCACATCAAGCAGCGCTTCCGTTCCGTGCACGAAACCCCCGCGCGCGAGCACCGCGGAATGCACGAGGCTCTCCGCATCTTAACTATGACGTCACCGCGGTGTGCAACTGTGACGTCACCGCGGTGTGCACATTGACGGCACTCGATGTCGAGACGACATTGGTGGTGTGAGGGGACGCGAGTTAGACAGGAAGGGCCCGTGGGGCGAGAACTCCACCGCGGTACGCCGACTGAGGCACGGCACAGGCGATGGCTGATCGTCGCCCGGCTTGACGAACATTGATCAACCATCTTCTTGGTTCTTTCGGTAAAGTCACGTAGAAGGGAAATAATAAAATAATTAAAATAAAGCATAATAAATATATTATATTATTTTATTATGTTTTATTTTTATGTTTTATTTTTATTATTTTATTATTTCCCTTCTACGTGACTTTACCGAAAGAGTTATTATTTTATTATTTCCCTTCTACGTGACTCTTTCGGTAAAGTCACGTAGAAGGGAAATAATAAAATAAAATAAATTCAACATAAGAAAACTATAATATTATTTTATTATATAAAATTATTATGTAAAATGTTTTATTATTTTATTATTTCCCTTCTATGTGACTTTACCGAAAGAACCAAGAAGATGAATCCCTGCAATCACGAAAGCTTTAAATCGAAATTGATCAACCACATAAGGGACGACTCAATCCACCCCAGCGCCGTACCCGAGACACCAAACCTTGACCTTAGCCGCTCGATGAGTACATACCGATGGAAAAATAAGAATCGGTCTTTGACCCTTTCTGGCAATAAAACAGCTGTGTTAAGATGTTCAAGCGATAAATAGAAACCTCTTTGCAAGGGGTCAAGTTGCTGCATTAACCACACACAGCAATCTGTGGTGAACGTGGAAACAAACATGCTCTGATAATGATAATACATGGGCATTGTCTTTGAAATCGATGGCCTACATCAGAGACAGCAGCAGACTTCCAGTGTCAGACCAGAGAACGCCAAAATGCGAACAGTGACAATGCCCATATATTATCAGAGCCATGTTTGTTTGCATGCTTATCACAAGTACTGTGTGCGGTTAATGCTATTTGGTGTTTGAACATTTTAAAACCTCCTGTTTTATTGCCAGAAAGGGTAAAAATTATATTTTTATCATACTTTGATACTGGCAAAAAGGTCCCATTTTTGATACGTATCTGTCACCCCAGTATTTATTGTACAGGGAAATTGCGTTTTCAAGTCCATGCGACGTACAGCAGTTTAAATACGGGACAAAAGCATAATTGTTGTCTATTCGTGTGTGTTTCTCCCTTGTGATGGGACTTTGTAGTATTAACGTTGAGATTTATAAAGGCACGGGGTGACCAACAGGGTCTGAATGTGTCTGTAGTGAGGTAGGGCACTGATAAGGAGTTGGCAGGTTATGTGAGTATCTCGCGGTCGATTGGTTGTCAAAGGTGGCTGAGCGATTGAGGCCAAACCAACGCTGTGGCGCAGTGGCCATCCACGCTCTTACAGAGGTCATCCACGCTCTTGCAGAGGTCATCCACGCTCTTACAGAGGTCATCCACGCTCTTACAGACGTCATCCACGCTCTTGCAGAGGTCATTCACGCTTTTGCAGAGGTCATCCACGCTCTTGCAGAGGTCATCCACGCTCTTGCAGAGGTCATCCACGCTCTTGCAGAGGTCATCCACGCTCTTGCAGAGGTCATCCACGCTCTTGCAGAGGTCATCCACGCTCTTGCAGAGGTCATCCACGCTCTGCAGAGGTCATCAACGCTCTTGCAGAGGTCATCCACGCTCTTAAGCCAGAGGTCATCCACGCTCTTGCAGAGGGTCCATCCACGCTCTTGCAGAGTCATCCCGCTCTTGCAGAGGTCCCCACGCTCTTGCAGAGGTCATCCACGCTCTTGCAAGAGGCATCCACGCTCTTGCAGAGGTCATCCACGCTCTTTCAGAGGTCATCCACGCTCTTGCAGAGGTCATGCACGCTCTTGCATTGGTCCATCCACGCTCTTGCAGAGGTCATCCACGCTCTTGCAGAGGTCATCCACGCTCTTACAGAGGGTCATCCAGGCTCTTGCAGAGGTCATCCACGCTCTTGCAGAGGTCATCCACGCTCTTGCAGAGGTCATCCACGCTCTTGCAGAGGTCATCCACGCTCTTGCAGAGGTCATCCACGCTCTTGCAGAGGCCATCCACGCTCTTGCAGAGGTCATCCACGCTCTTGCAGAGGTCATCCACGCTCTTGCAGAGGTCATCCACGCTCTTTCAGAGGTCATCCACGCTCTTGCAGAGGTCATGCACGCTCTTGCAGTGGTCATCCACGCTCTTGCAGAGGTCATCCACGCTCTTGCAGAGGTCATCCACGCTCTTACAGAGGTCATCCAGGCTCTTGCAGAGGTCATCCACGCTCTTGCAGTGGTCATCCACGCTCTTGCAGAGGTCATCCACGCTCTTGCAGAGGCCATCCACGCTCTTGCAGTGGCCATCCACGCTCTTGCAGAGGCCATCCACGCTCTTGCAGTGGTCATCCACGCTCTTGCAGAGGTCATCCACGCTCTTGCAGTGGTCATCCACGCTCTTGCAGAGGCCATCCACGCTCTTGCAGAGGTCATCCACGCTCTTGCAGTGGTCATCCACGCTCTTGCAGAGGTCATCCACGCTCTTGCAGAGGCCATCCACGCTCTTGCAGAGGTCATCCACGGTCTTGCAGAGGTCATCCACGCTCTTGCAGAGGTCATCCACGCTCTTGCATAGGCCATCCACGCTCTTGCAGAGGTCATCCACGCTCTTGCAGAGGTCACCCACGCTCTTGCAGAGGTCATCCACGCTCTTGCAGATGTCATCCACGCTCTTGTAGAGGTCACCCACGCTCTTGCAGAGGTCATCCATGCTCTTGCAGTGGTCATCCACGCTCTTGCAGTGGTCATCCACTCTCTTGCAGAGGTCATCCACGCTCTTGCAGAGGTCATCCACGCTCTTGCAGAGGCCATCCACACTCTTGCAGAGGCCATCCACGCTCTTGCAGAGATCATCCACGCTCTTGCAAAGGTCATCCACGCTCTTGCAGAGGTCATCCACGCTCTTGCAGAGGTCATCGGTGGTTTTAGTGGAGCGGTCCCGGTGCCATGAGGCTTCCGGGCACGCCGACCGCGACAGCTTGAATGTGCCCATCGCAGCGGCGTGAGGAAGTCGTGATCGCTATCAGGCACGGGCGCTTATGACCTTTGAAATCGTACTCACGTTTGAGATTGGGGCGATATATTTTGGCGGAGTTTCCGTGGCTCAAGCCAAATTTGATCAGGAGCGCTGATACTTGCGCCGATTTTGAACCAGTCTGGGATATCGTGGTGATGGGTGGGCGAATAATCGGCAAAATGCCACTTTGCACATCATGAGACTGCTATCTGGAGTAGCCCCCCACGACATCGGCGGATTTGAAGACGTGATCCAGATGATGATGGCTGATAATGACAGCTGCTGATGATGACGGCTGATGATGGTGATTGCTGATGATGATGGCTGATGATGGCTGATGATGGTGGCTGATAATGACAGCTGCTAATGACAGCTGCTGATGATGATGACTGATGGTATTTGCTGATGATGATGGCTGATAATGACAGCTGATGATGATGGCTGATCATGACAGCTGCTGCTGCTGATGATGATGGTGATGGCTGATTATGGCTGGTGATGATGGCTGATAATGACAGCTGCTGCTGATGATAGCTGATGATGATGATGGCTGATCATGACAGCTACTGCTGATGATGATGGCGGCTGATGATGGCGACTGATGATGGCGGCTGCTGATGGCGGCCTAATGATGATGGCTGATGATAATGGCTAATTATCATAGCTGATTATGATGGCTGATGGCTGCTGCTGCTGATGATGATAGCTGATGATGATGATGGTGATGATGGCCGCAGGAGTTCCCCGAGCGGAGTGGGCGCTACCCTCGCTGCGCCGTCGTGGGGAACGGAGGGATCCTCACCAACAGCTCCTGCGGCTCCCAGATCGACGCAGCCGACTTCGTGATCCGGTGAGAGGGGAGGAGGGGGAGGGCGAGAGGGGAGAGGGAGGGAGAGTGAGATAAGTGAGATAGAGAGAGGGAGAGACTTTTGACTTTAAAACCACTTTTATTACCGCCAGCAGCAACAGCACTGGAGGCGATTCCGATATGAAACACACACAAAGTCACCAGCAACACAAATGAAAACAAACGCTATAAATCCACGCGCTGTGGCGCTAAATGCACCGCGCACAGCACGAAAGAAAAGTCACGTGGTGGTGGTGGTCATCGCGCACGCCACGGTGACGAGCGAGCGCTTCAGAAGGTGAACACCACGAGGGTGCCGTCCACGCTGGTGCAGAGAGGGGCTTTTCCGGCTCCCCAGCGTTCGAAGAAGACGCGCTGCACATCACCGACATGTGTGTGGTACATGGCGTGCTCCAGCCGGAGCCGCGCCTGAAGCAGGCCTCTGAGCAGCCGTCAGTGTCACCTTCCAGCACATTTTCCTCGTTCTGTACACCGCCATCTTCGCCTGAACACAGGCGAAGATGGCGTGGTCGTGGAGAGAGGGAGAGAGAGAGTGAGGGACACCACACATGCGGAAAAGGAGGCACGACCAAAGTGCTACAACCACTGCGCTACGAACCAGGCAGGAAATAGGGAGGGAACTACTATTGTTTTGGTATTTTAAAACCACTTTTATTGCTGCCAGCAGCAATAAAAGCACTGGAGCCGATTTCGATAAGCAAAGCGACATTTACGACAGCGTCACGTCACGTGGTACGTGGTGGCACACGCGACACCACGCGCAACACGAACAGTGCGTCGTAACGCAGGGCCACGCTCGACGGAGAAGCAAAGCTCTTTTGAAGGCGAAATGCCGAATGCCGTATTCGCTGGTGCATGGGTCGGTGCTGGCTCTCACCGCCAGGCATCGGCTTATAAAAGTCGGGAGGATATCCTGCTGCTCTGAAAGATTTCCAAATGGATTCCTTGCCTCTTGACGATGACGCCGATGGCACATAGTTTATAACCCTGAGTGGGTGAGTCTGTGAGTGAGTGGTGGTGGTGCATTGTTTAGATCCCTGAGTGGTTGAGTCTGTGATTGAGTAGTGGTGGTTCGTTGTTTAGAACCCTGAGTGGGTGAGTCTGTGAGTGAGTGGTGGTGGTGGTGCATTGTTTAGAACCCTGAGTGGGTGAGTCTGTGATTGAGTAGTGGTGGTTCGTTGTTTAGAACCCTGAGTGGGTGAGTCTGTGAGTGGTGGTGGTGCGTTGTTTAGAACCCTGAGTGGGTGAGTCTGTGAGTGAGTGGTGGTGGTGGTGCATTGTTTAGAACCCTGAGTGGGTGAGTTTGGGAGTGAGTGGTGGTGGTGGTGCATTGTTTAGAACCCTGAGTGGGTGAGTCTGTGAGTGAGTGAGTGGTGGTGGTGCGTTGTTTAGACCCCTGAGTGGGTGAGTCTGTGAGTGGTGGTGGTTCGTTGTTTAGAACCCTGAGTGGGTGAGTCTGTGAGTGGTGGTGGTGCATTGTTTAGAACCCTGAGTGGGTGAGTCTGTGATTGAGTAGTGGTGCGTTGTTTAGAACCCTGAGTGGGTGAGTCTGTAAGTGAGTGAGTGGTGCGTTGTTTAGAACCCTGAGTGGGTGAGTCTGTGAGTGAGTGAGTGGTGCGTTGTTTAGAACCCTGAGTGGGTGAGTCTGTGAGTGAGTGAGTGGTGCGTTGTTTAGAACCCTGAGTGGGTGAGTCTGTGAGTGAGTGAGTTGTGGTGGTGCGTTGTTTAGAACCCTGAGTGGGTGAGTCTGTGAGTGAGTGGCGGCGTTGTCTCCTCTGTGTAGCTGTAACCTGGCTCCTGTGGACGGGAAGTTTTCCAACGACGTTGGGACGAAAACAAGTCTGGTGACAGCGAATCCCTCCATCATCATAAAGAAGTGAGTGTGTGTGTTAGGGGTGTGTGTGTGTGCATGTCAGGGGTGTGTGAGTGTGTGGGGAGCAGTGGTGTAGCGGCAAAACAACTCCCTATCTCCTCGTTGGTGCCGGACGGTAACGCTGTGGTGAGCAGCAGTGCCATTCAAGTTCAAGTTCATTTATAAGGTATAGCCCTGTGAGCCATTCGGCTCTTGAATCGGGTGCAACCGCAACAAACAAAAAACATGAACAAAAAACATCTTAAAGTGACTATGTGACTGAGTGCAAACAGAAAATCCAAGAAAAGACAGCAAAATATTGCAGAAAAAAACACCGTACACCAACGCTGTGTGCAAAAATCCCAGTCAAACAACCAACAACAACCACAAGGGGGAAGGAAATTTTAGATTGGCCATTCCCCTCATGGCGTTTGTAGCCACCACAGCGGCCAAAAGGGCGAGGGGCTGGTAACCCTTCCACCTTCAATCCAAGTACCACTAAACCATGGGATAAACATCTAATTAAGCTTGTGCCGGAGGCCCCGGGGGAACAGGCGTCCATGACGTCTCCTGGCCAAACCCCATTTGGTGGAGACAGGAGATTGAATCCTTACCCTCGGGGTTCCTTCAGAAACAGCAAAAGCCACTGTGCGTGGCCATGTGGAATATTCGAACGCTCACTGTGGAGGAGAGGCTGCCACTCCTTTGTCCGGAACTGGACCAGTACTGCCTGGATCTCTGTGGTGTTCAGGAAGTCCGGTGGACTGGCTCTGGCTCCTGCCACCATGAGGGGTGGACAGTCCTCTACTCGGGGCAGGAGACTGCCAAACAACAGGGAGTGGCTCCTCGTCTGAACAAAATAATGAAGGGGGCATGGGAGCGTGGCGATGAGGTGTGGGAAGCTGTAAGCCCCAGGCTACTTTAGGCTCGCCTTCCCATCAACCAGAGGTGAGAAGTGGTGGTCGTGGTTATTTACGTCCCCACTGAAGACGAACATCAGTAGAGGGATGCAGGCAAGGCCGATGAGTCAGATGCCTTCTATGACCTCCTGTCACAGGTGCTAGCTAAAGTGGCCCCTAGAGATAGAGTGATCTTGTTGGGTGACTTTAATACCCGAGTTGGTCATGATGACTGATGGATGGCATGAGTCAGATCAGCTCAATAGCAACGGTAGGAGGCTGCTAGATTTCTGTGCAGCCCATGAGCTTGTAATTACCAACACACTGTTCCAGCATCGGTGTATCCACACAACATCATTATAATGCACATCGGATCCAAGCAAGAACATCTGCTGGACTATATAGTGATGGAACAGTGGATACGGGCTCATGTCCTTGACACCAGGACCTACCGTGGTGCTGATCTGCCCACTGACCATCGACTTGTCATATGTAGATGCGCCTGCCATTATTCCACTCTGGTGGTGGGTGTACACCCAGGACCCCTTTAAAACCCATGGTAGCCTGGTCTCAGTTATCTGATGAAAGTTGCAAGCGAGAATTTCATCATCGCTTGCAGTTGGGGTTGGCATCGTCCCCCACTCCTCCTGATTTCAAGGAGAAATGGGCCAGGTTTAGGACTGTGGCTCATGCAGCTGCAATGGCTGCTTTTGAGACATGGTCCAGACCTCCCCAGAGACCCTGGCTGATGAAGGAGGTGTTCAGGCTGGCTGAGAAAAAGCGACAGGCCCACTCTCATCGTCTACAGCATCCCACATCAGAGAATGAGGAGGCTTACCGCAGCCTTCGCTCGGAGATTTGGAGAGCCGTGAGGCGCTGCAAAGATGGGTGGTGATCACGGGTTGCTGAAGAGATGGAATTTTCCTCAATGTCCCGCGATCACAAATCGCTATTTAATTATATCAAAAAAGTAACCTGCAGCGCCACACCTATTATCATCATTAGGGGAAAGAATGGTGATCCAATCTCCGACCCCCAGGAACAGATTTGCAGATTTGCTGAGCATTCCTGTGAGGTCCTGGGGGAGGGAAAATCCCTCAGCCTGGAAAATAGCATGGGATAAAGTGGGGATGACCCTGCTGAGGCTCCGGTGCCTCAAATATTGGAAGAGGAAGTTACCCCCTGTGAGTGGCTGGCTGAGGTGCCATCTGTTGAGGTACTGAAGGCGATCCAGAGTCCAGGAAAGGCACTTGGCAGAGATGATCTCCCAAGCAAAATACTGAGGGAGGGGGGCGTTTGTGCACAAACTGCCCTACATGACATCATAATAACAGTCTGAACCACTGGACGGGTTCTGCAGGATTGGAAGGATGCCCTGGTGGTCCTCCTCTTTAAGAAGGGGGACCGTACAGATTGTAACAACTACAGGGGCATCTCACTCCTCAGTGTGCCGGGAAAGGTCCTGGCAAGGATTATTCAACATCACCTTGCTAGGCACGCTGAGGAGAGGCTTGCAGAGCCCCAATGCGGTTTCAGGAAAGGGCGGTCCTGCACAGATGCCATATTTTATGTCTGTCTGCTACAGTAGAGGTGTAGGGGATTCTAAAAAGACCTACATCTCTGCTTTATTGACCTTGTTAAGGCCTATGATACCATCAGTAGGCCTGGGCTCTGGGTTGTTCTTCATGCTTTCGGAGTCCCTGACTTTTTTTCAAAATCATTAAGGACCTTAATGATGGTGAGCGGGCCCGGGTAAAACTACGTGGCCAGGAGTCGGAGCCATCCCCTGCTCACCTTGGGGTGCGACAGGGATGTCCTCTGGCTCCTACATTATTTACCATCTATTTCGACCACTTCGTTTGTGAAGGCTTTGATGGCTGTACCAGAGGAATTTCCACTAGGTCTAATGAGCCTCCAATGAGTACCTCGTGCGGTGTGTAAACATTGTCACTTGGGGAGAGAAAGGCGGCCCGGCGTGGTGCTGGCCACCCCACCCCCTCGTGTGCCTACCGGCCGTCGTAGATGCTCGCTAACAGCACTTGCCCCAACAGTCTGTTACAGGCTATGCAGAGGATCTTTGTCTCTGCATATGTCAAGGATGTGTGTGTGTATGTTAGGTGTGTGTGTGTGTCAGGTTAGGTGTTGGGAGCGATAGAGCAGCGATTAGCGTGCTGCCCTATGAGCCCGGCCACCCGAGTTAGATTCCAGTGACGATTCTTTTAACCAATCCCGCGTCTTCCCTTGGTCGACTCAGCCTCAAATGAGTACCTGGTGTGGTGTAGTAGTAAACATCACCACTGGCAAGACTAAGGCGGCCGGTCGTGGTGCTGACCACCCAGCCTCGAGTGTGTCGTGCCGGCCTTACATAGGTGCAACTCGTTAACAGCACATGCCCCAGCAGCCCGTTTAATACTATGGGGGGCTGGGAGTGGGGATCTTTATCTCTTCCTTCGTGTGCATGGCTCTGCCCGGAGAGGGCGCAATGACGGAAACGTGTGGACTCATCTCCACGTGTGGGTTTGGGATAGAGTGTTTCCCCCTTGCACGCGTGGATTTTCTTTGTTTCTTTTGCTCCGGGCGCTCGGGATTCCTCTCACACAGGGCCGGACCCAATCTCGACGAAGTCCCGAGTGTCAGCACGCAGCGCCGGCCTCAATGGGTCCTCAACAGGACTTGCCCTGAGAAGTCTGGAGGCCTACACGGGTGATCTTTGCGTGATTGTGTCTGTGCAGATTCCAGTCGCTCAATGCCAGACGAACGCCCTTTGTCAAGGAGATGGAGGCATATAAAGACACCATCATCCTCGTGTCCGGCTTCTCATTCGCATCCCTAACACCGATTGCCATGAGGGTACGAAGACACTCACACAAATACAGACACTCACACAGACACTCATACACTTACTCACTCACACAGATGCTCACACACTTAATCACTCACACATACGATAACTCACACACAGAAACTCACACAGACACTCACACACACAGACGATCACTCACACACAACAACAACCGCCATTCGCCACTAAATGGTGGTGACGTCACCACGACGCTTGTGCCAGGCTATGTGAACCTTGAGGCCACGTGAAATGGCAGGAAGGTCACGGGGCAGACCCAGATGCCACAGGTCGACTGACTGAGACGACTGACTGAGACGACTGGCTGATGCACCACCTGTGCCCACTACTGTACCAACTTGCTGTGCTTTAGCAGCCTTGCCTGTTGGAGGAGCTCACCAATGGGACATTATCCAGATCTTTCAAGGATTTGTGAGTTCCTCACACAATCCAGCCTGGTTAAACCCAGGATGGATCGTAGGCAGGCCAGCCTAAATGTGTCTAACCAGCGAAGATGTTGCATTAGGGGGGTCCACGTGTCGCAAGCGTAGAGAAGGGAGGGAATGACTGTGGTCGAGAAGACCTGAAGCTTCGTGCGGAGCATCATACCAGGTAGCTTCCACACAGCGTTACGCAACCGATGAAAATATAATGCTGCTCGAGTGATTCGAAGTGAGACCTCTGCTCTTAAACCTGGAGCCAGTCATGAGCACACTGCCCAGGTATGGGAAACTCTCCACTCTCTCTACAACTGCGCCATCACCAATTGGGATTTGTGGGGGTAGAGTGTCCGATAGTACAAAATACCCAGGCAGGTGCTTAGTTTTGGTGGGGCTGATGGCAATTCCCCACCTCTTAGTGGCAAGCTCCAGATTTAGTAGCAGCACCTCCAACTCTTCCTCTGAGTGAGCAGAAATTACCAGATCATCAGCATCCATATCATGGTTGAGCAATTGGGAGCCATCCCTTGACCGCATCCGGGCATCGATCAGCCTCCCATTGTATCTGTACCAGATGGAAATTCCTCCGGTACAGCTATTGAAGGCTTCATGAACTACGTGGTCAAAAAAAGATGCTAAATAATGTGGGAGCAAGAGAACATCCCTGTCGCACCCCAAGGTGTACAGGGCATGACTCCTGGCCACGTAGTTTTACCCGGGCCCGCTCACCATCATGAAGGTCCTTGATGATCGTGAGCAGAGGGTCAGGGACTCCGAAAGCACGAAGAACAACCCAGAGCCCAGGCCTACTGATGGTATCATAGGCCTTGACCAAGTCAATAAAGCAGAGATGTAGGTCTTGTTGGAATTCCCTACACCTCTGCTGTAACAGATGGACAGAGCATATAGCATTTGTGCAGGACTACCCTTTCCTGAAAACGCATTGGGGCTCCTCAAGCCTCTCCTCAGCGTGCCTAGCAAGGCGATGTTGAATAATCCTTGCCAGGACTTTTCCCGGCACATTGAGTGAGATGCCCCTGTAGTTGTTTCAGTCTGTGCTGTCCCCCTTCTTAAAGAGGGGGACCACCAGGGCATCCTTCCAATCCTGTGGAACCCGTCCAGTGGTCCATACTGTTATTATCTGCACACAAACGCCACCCTCCCTCAGCATTTTGCTTGGGAGATCATCCCTGCCCAGCCCTTTCCTGGTCTCAGACTCTCCATCACCTTCCGTACTTCCTCAATAGATGGCACTTCAGCCAGCCACTCACAGGGGGTGACTTCTTCCTCCAATATTTGAGGCATCGCAGCCTCAGCAAGGTCATCCCCACTTTACCCCAGATATTTTCCAGGCTGAGGGATTTCCCCTCCCCCAAGACCTCACAGAAATGCTGGGGGTTGGAGATTGGATCATCTTTCTTTCCCCTAAGGATTGTAATAGGTATGGTGCTGCAAGTTACTTTTTAATGGAGTTAAATATTGATTTGTGAGCGCAGACTACTTAGGCAGACTCCATCTCCTCAGCAACCCGCGACCACCACCCAAGCTTGCAGCGCCTCACGGCTCTCTAGACCTCCGAGCGAAGGCTGCGGTAAGCCTCCTCATTCTCCGACGTGGAATGCTGCAGACGGTGAGAAAGCCAGAACGTTTCATCCATCGGCCAGGGTCTATAGAGAGGATTGGACCGTGCACCCCAGTAGCCATTGCAGCTGCATGAGCCAGAGTCCTAAACCTCGCCCATCTCTATATTCTTTGGGTCTTTCGGTAAAGTCACGTAGATAGGTTCAAAGAAAATAACAAAAAACTACGACGTTTCGATCGCAACACAAGCGGTCGTCTTCAGGAAAAAGTTCGCCCATTTCTCCTCTGCATCAGGAGGAAAGGTGGGGGGGGGGGGGGGGGGGGGGTCGATGCCTACCCCACCTGCAAGCAATTATGAAATTCTCGCTTGCAACCTTCATGAGCTACTTGAGACCAGGCCACTTTGGGTTTGCATGGGGTCCTAGAATGGGAGGCGCATCTTACAGATGACAAGCCGATGGTCAGAGGGTAGGTCAGCTCCACGGTAGGTCATGGTGTCAAGGACCTGGGCCCGCATCCACTGTTCCGTCACTATGTAGTCCAGCAGATGTTTTTTGCTTGGACCCGGCATGCATCCGTGACTTCGTGTGGATGCGCTGTTGGTAATTACAAAGCCATGGGCTGCACAAAAAATCAGCCTCCTACCGTTGTTATTGAGCTGATCTGGCCCATGCCTTCCGATCAATCCAAACCAGGTGCCAGCATCATGGCCAACTCGGGCATTACAGTCAGCCAACAGGATGACTCTATCCCGAAGAGCCACTGTGAAAGGAGGCCATGAAAGGCATCTGACTCATCGACCTTGCCTGCATCCCTCCACTGATGTTCATCTTCGGTGTGGGCATAAGTAACCACCACCACTACCACCACCACTCCTCGCCTCTGGTTGATGTGGAGTCGAGCCCACAGTAGCCTGGGGCTTACAGCTTCCCACACCTCACCGCCACACTCTCACGCCCCTTTCATTCTTTGGTTCAGAAGAAGAGCCACTCTCTGTTGTTTGGTAGTTTCCTGACACACATTCTCACTTACACAGTCTTTCACTCATACAGACACTTACTTCTGCTTCTTCTTCTTTCGTATGGCTGATGTAGATGCAGAGTAACACAAACTATTTCACATTCAGGTGGTAAAGCCGGATAACTCTCACACACACACACTCGCACATTCACGAACAACAACCGCCATTCGCCACCAAGTGGCGGTGACATCACCACGACGCTTGTGCCAGTCTATGTGCATCTTGAGGCCACGTGAAGTGTCTAACGCCCGCTGGCAGGAGGTCACCGAGCAGACCCAGATGCCACAGGTCGACTGACCGAGACGAACACACACTCATTCACACACAGACACTCACACACATAGGCACTGTCTGCCTGCCTATCCATACGATTATCCACCTGCCCCTCTTTGCCCATACACCCGTCTGTGCATCTGTCCACGTCTCCGTGTCCACGTCTCCGTGTCACGTGTCCCTGTGTGTGTGTGTCCGCCGGCAGCTCGCCTTCACACTGGAGGACTTCAGAGCGCAGCAGAGGGTCGCCTTCTTCAACCCCGACTACATGAGGGCCATCGCGCGCTTCTGGAAGGGCCAGGGGGTGAACGAGCCGCGACCCTCTTCGGGGCTCATGATGGTCAGCCTCCCCCCCACACCCCCCCACACCCCCCACACACACCCTGCGACTCCCAGCATCTCCACTGCGTCTCCCAGCAACTTCACATCGCACTCTCTATCTCTCTCCACCTTGTCTCCCCGTGTCTCCATCGATCTCTCCACATCTACACCCCCCACCACCACCACCTTTGTCTCCCTTTCATTTCTCCGCGTCTCTCCTTCTCCACGCGTGTGATCCCCCCCCCAGCGTCTCCCAACATCTTCACTTCTTCCCCCCCCACCCCCCCTCCCCTCCCCCCCAGACGAGCGTGGCCATGGACCTGTGTGACGAGGTGCATGTCTACGGCTTCTGGCCGTTCGACCAGGCAGTCCTGGCCAGGGCGGGCGGTGCGGGGGTGGAGCTGACGCACCACTACTACGACGACCAGAAGCCCAACCGGCGCCACTCGATGCCCCACGAGTTCCTGGAGCTGCTGGCGCTGCACAGCCGCGGGGTGCTGCGGATGCACGTGGGGGAGTGCGCGGCGCCTTGAGGGGGGACGACGCCCTCAGAGACACGTGGGGGGAGAGGGGGAGGAAGAGGATCGAGGGGGGGAGGAGGAGGCTCTCGAATCGGGCGAGGATCTTGTTGTTGACGTGGGGGCGCGAAGAGACAATGGTAGCGGTGATGATGATGATGGTGGCGATGGTGGCGATGATGGGGATGATGGGGATGATGGGGATGCCAGTGATGATGATAGGGATGATGGTGATGATGATAGGGATGATGGTGATTAGGATGATGAAGGTGATGGGGATAATGATGATGGGAGGAGGGGATTATTCCGCGATGGAGGGAAGAAGCGGAGAGTGTGAGGTGGCCTGCAGTCTGGGTGGGTGATGATTTAAAAGTGCACAGCTCCCAGTGTCTTCCGAACATTGGAAGGAAGAGCGTTCCAGACGGAGCGCATCTGAAAGCGCCGCGATGCCATGACCGTCTTTATTCGATGGCCAAGCTAAAGTGTAGTGTACAGTGTAGTGTATAGAGTAGTGTATATTGTAGTGTATAGAAGTGGATAGGGTCGTGTATAGTGTAGGGTGGGGATCGAACCTACGACCGCCTGTATATCAGGCGAGGTAGTTAACATCTCCTAGCCACCGTGATGATGAGAGAGAGAGAGACACGCAGACTCCAAATATACAGCAGCAGGCGTCAGGGTCGGGATCGAACCCACGACATCCTGTACACCAGGCGAGGTAGTTATCATCTTTCCCTCAAGTTGAGGAGCACCTGGTTCGTGGTTTGGTTCGATACCCGGCATCGACGTCGTCAGCAGCAACAGCGGCATGGCGATTGAAGGCACCGTCTTGCGTGATGGTGCGCACGTTACAAGGGTGGAAGAAGGAGGAGGAGGAGAAACGACCCAGATCCGCGGTACAGCCACGGTGAGAGGTGGCATCGCAAAATTTGGGGCAATTAACGGGAAACCACGTGGGCTGTCAGTTGGGGCAGTTAGCGGACAGTCACGTGGGCTGTCAGTTGGGGACAGTTAGCGGGAAACCACGTGGGCTGTCAGTTGGGGAGTTAGCGGGAGACCACGTGGGCTGTCAGTTGGGGACAGTTAGCGGGAAACCACGTGGGCTGTCAGTTGGGGACAGTTAGCGGGCAGCCACATGGGATGTCAGTTGGGGCAGTTAGCAGGAAACCACGTGGGTTGTCAGTTGGGGAGTTAGCGGGAGACCACGTGGGCTGTCAGTTGGGGAGTTAGCGGGAGACCACATGGGCTGTCAGTTGGGGACAGTTTGCGGGAAACCACGTGGGCTGTCAGTTAGGGAGAGTTAGCAGGAAACCACGTGGGCTGTCAGTTGGGGGCAGTTAGCGGGAGACCACGTGGGCTGTCAGTTGGGGACAGTTAGCGGGAAATCACGTGGGCTGTCAGTTGGGGGAAGTTAGCGGGAAACCACGTGGGCTGTCAGTTGGGGGGCAGTTAGCGGGAGACCACATGGGCTGTCAGTTGGGGACAGTTAGCGGGAAACCACGTAGGCTGTCAGTTGGGGGCAGTTAGTGGGAAACCACGTGGGCTGTCAGTTGGGGAGAGTTAGCAGGAAACCACGTGGGCTGTCAGTTGGGGGCAGTTAGCGGGAGACCACGTGGGCTGTCAGTTGGGGACAGTTAGCGGGAAATCACGTGGGCTGTCAGTTGGGGGCAGTTAGCGGGAAACCACGTGGGCTGTCAGTTGGGGGGCAGTTAGCGGGAAACCACGTGGGCTGTCAGTTGGGGGCAGTTAGCGGGAAACCACGTGGGCTGTCAGTTGGGGGCAGTTAGCGGGAAACCACGTGGGCTGTCAGTTGGGGGCAGTTAGCGGGAAACCACGTGGGCTGTCAGTTGGGGGCAGTTAGCGGGAAACCACGTGGGCTGTCAGTTGGGGACAGTTAGCGGGAAACCACGTGGGTTGTCAGTTGGGAGCAGTTAGCGGGAAACCACGTGGGTTGTCAGTTGGGAGCAGTTAGCGGGAAATCACGTGGGCTGTCAGTTGGGGACAGTTAGCCGGAAACCACGTGGGTTGTCAGTTGGGAGCAGTTAGCGGGAAACCACGTGGGTTGTCAGTTGGGAGCAGTTAGCGGGAAATCACGTGGGCTGTCAGTTGGGGACAGTTAGCGGGAAACCACGTGGGTTGTCAGTTGGGAGCAGTTAGTGGGAAACCACGTGGGTTGTCAGTTGGGAGCAGTTAGCGGGAAACCACGTGGGCTGTCAGTTGGGGACAGTTAGCGGGAATCCACGTGGGCTGTCAGTTGGGGGCAGTTAGCAGGAAACCACGTGGGTTGTCAGTTGGGAGCAGTTAGCGGGAAACCACGTGGGCTGTCAGTTGGGGACAGCGGGAAACCACGTGGGTTGTCAGTTGGGAGCAGTTAGCGGGAAACCACGTGGGCTGTCAGTTGGGGGCAGTTAGCGGGAGACCACGTGGGCTGTCAGTTGGGGGCAGTTAGCGGGAGACCACGTGGGCTGTCAGTTGGGGGCAGTTAGCGGGAGACCACGTGGGCTGTCAGTTGGGGAGTTAGCGGGAAACCACGTGGGCTGTCAGTTGGGGGCAGTTAGCGGGAGACCACGTGGGCTGTCAGTTGGGGACAGTTAGCGGGAAACCACGTGGGCTGTCAGTTGGGGACAGTTAGCGGGAAACCACGTGGGCTGTCAGTTGGGGACAGTTAGCGGGCAGCCACGTGGGATGTCAGTTGGGGACAGTTAGCGGGAGACCACGTGGGCTGTCAGTTGGGGGAAGTTAGCAGGAAACCACGTGGGCTGTCAGTTGGGGCAGTTAGCGGGAAACCACATGGGTTGTCAGTTGAGGACAGTTAGCGGGAAACCACGTGGGCTGTCAGTTGGGGCAGTTAGCGGGAAACCACGTGGGCTGTCAGTTGGGAAAAGTTAGCAGGAAACCACGTGGGCTGTCAGTTGGGGCAGTTAGCGGGAAACCACGTGGGTTGTCAGTTGGGTCAGTTAGCGGGAAACCACGTGGGATGTCAGTTGGGGGCAATTAGCGTGAAACCACATGGGCTGTCAGTTGGGGCAGTTAGCGGACAGCCACGTGGGCTGTCAGTTGAGGACAGTTAGCGGGAAACCACGTGGGCTGTCAGTTGGGGCAGTTAGCGGGAAACCACGTGGGCTGTCAGTTGGGGACAGTTAGCGGGAGACCACGTGGGCTGTCAGTTAAGGACAGTTAGCGGAAAACCACGTGGGCTGTCAGTTGGGGCAGTTAGCGGGAAACCACGTGGGTTGTCAGTTGGGGACAGTTAGCGGGAGACCACGTGGGCTTTCAGTTGGGGACAGTTAGTGGGAAACCACGTGGGTTGTCAGTTGGGGACAGTTAGCGGGAGCGGGAAACCACGTGGGCTGTCAGTTGGGGGCAGTTAGCAGGAGACCACGTGGGCTGTCAGTTGGGGACAGTTAGCGGGAGACCACGTGGGCTGTCAGTTGGGGACAGTTAGCGGGAAACCACGTGGGCTGTCAGTTGGGGACAGTTAGCGGGAGACCACGTGAGTTGTCAGTTGGGGACAGTTAGTGGGAAACCACGTGGGTTGTCAGTTGGGGACAGTTAGCGGGAGACCACGTGGGCTGTCAGTTGGGGACAGTTAGTGGGAAACCACGTGGGTTGTCAGTTGGGGACAGTTAGCGGGAGACCACGTGGGCTGTCAGTTGGGGGCAGTTAGCAGGAGACCACGTGGGCTGTCAGTTGGGGACAGTTAGCGGGAGACCACGTGGGCTGTCAGTTGGGGACAGTTAGTGGGAAACCACGTGGGCTGTCAGTTGGGGACAGTTAGCGGGAAACCACGTGGGCTGTCAGTTGGGGACAGTTAGCGGGAGACCACGTGGGCTGTCTGTTGGGGGCAGTTAGCGGGAAACCACGTGGGCTGTCAGTTGGGGACAGTTAGCGGGAAACCACGTGGGCTGTCAGTTGGGGACAGTTAGCGGGAGACCACGTGGGCTGTCAGTTGGGGACAGTTAGCGGGAAACCACGTGGGCTGTCAGTTGGGGACAGTTAGCGGGAGACCACGTGGGCTGTCTGTTGGGGGCAGTTAGCAGGAAACCACGGGGGCTGTCAGTTGGGGGCAGTTAGCGGGAAACCACGTGGGCTGTCAGTTGGGGCAGTTAGCGGACAGTCACGTGGGATGTCAGTTGGGGCAGTTAGCGGGAAACCACGTGGGCTGTCAGTTGGGGGCAGTTAGCGGGCAGCCATGTGGGATGTCAGTTGGGGCAGTTAGCGGGAAACCACGTGGGCTTGCAGTTGGGGGCAATTAGCGGGAAACCACGTGGGCTGTCAGTTGGGGACAGTTAGCGGGCAGCCACGTGGGATGTCAGTTGGGGACAGTTAGCGGGAGACCACGTGGGCTGTCAGTTGGGGGCAGTTAGCGGGAGACCACGTGGGCTGTCAGTTGGGGGCAGTTAGCGGGAAACCACGTGGGCTGTCAGTTGGGGGAAGTTAGCGGGCAGTCACGTGGGCTGTCAGTTGGGGGCAGTTAGCGGGCAGCGACGAGATCCGGGCGCAAACAGCCGGGCAGCAGTAGAAGCTCGAAGTCGCAGCAGCGCCATCGCTAGATGTTGCTGCTGTTGTTGTTGCTGCTTCTGTGGATCAGTGGGTGGATGGACGGGTGAGTGAGTGAATTGTTGAGTGAGTAAGTGAAAGGGCGAATGATTGACTGAGTGAGTGGGTGGATGAGTGAGATGGAGTTGGAGACTCTCCAACTGAACCTGCAGCGTGCCTCTAAGAGATGGGGGCCTTGCCATCAGCCCCACAAAAACAGAGCATGTTTGTTTGCATGTTCACCACACGGACGTGTATGCTTAATGCAGACTTGATTCCTTGCAACAGGTATATCTGTTTGGTGTTCGAACATCCAAACAAGGGTAAAAGCTACTCTTATTTTTTCATACTTTGATACTGGCAAAAAAGGTGCCATTATGAAAAAACAAAGCACCTGCCTGGTTACTTTATGCCGTCAAACGCTGCCCTCCCTTAGCTCCCCACGAGTGACGGGTGGTTGTGGAAAAAGAGTGGAAAAGTATCCGTGCCTGGGCAGTGTGCTTTTGACCAACCGCGGTTTAGTCGAGGGGCATCATTGCGTCTTTATCATCTGCAAAATGCCGCTGTGTGGAAGTTACCTGGCTGGTCGCTCCACACAGCTTTGCCCTCCCTTCTCTATGCATGTGAGCGTGTGTGTCTGTATGTGTGTGTGGGGGAGACAAAGGCGGTCGGGCGAGGTGCTGGCCACCCACCCCCCTCGTGTACCGTTCCGGCCTTCATAGGTGCTCGCCAACAGCACTTGCCCCTACAGTCTGTTAAGGCTATACGGGGGATCTTTGTCTTGACTGTGTGTGGGGAGCAGTAGTTTAGTCGTTAGCACGCTGCGCTACGAACCTCGCGGTCCAAGTTCGATTTCAGCTCACGGCAAACAACCATCGACGATTATTTGAACTGGTCCTGGGCCACCCCTAGGTTGACTCGGCCTTAAATGAGTACCTGGTGCGGTGTGTAGTAAAAATCGCCACTGGGGAGACAAAGGCGGCCGGGCGTGGTTGCTGGCCACCCACCTTCTCGTATGTCGTGCCGGCCTTCATAGGTGCTTGCTAAAAGCACTTGCCCCTACAGTCTGTTCAGGCTATACGGGGGGTCTTGTCTTTTGGGTGTGTAAGTGGGTGTGTGAGTGGATGAGTGAGTTGGTGAGATAGTGGGTGGGTAAGTGGGTGAGTGAGTGAGTTGGTGAGTGGGTGGGTGGGTGAGTGACTGAGTGGGTGAGTGAGTGGGTGAGTGAGTGGGTGAGTGGATGGGTAAGTGGGTGAGTGACTGAGTGGGTGAGTGAGTGGGTGAGTGAGTTGGTGAGTGGGTGGGTGAGTGGGTGAGTGACTGTGTGGGTGATTGAGTTGGTGAGTTGGTGAGTTGGTGAGTTGGTGAGTGGGTGGGTGAGTTGGTGAGTGGGTGAGTGAGTGGGTGGGTGAGTGGGTGATTGACTGAGTGGGTGAGTGAGTGAGTGAGTGGGTGGGTGAGTGGGTGAGTGAGTGGGTGAGTGACTGAGTGGGTGAGTGAGTTGTTGAGGCGCCTTTTGGCGTCCTCAAAAGAAAGCCTCTGGTGTGGACCAATCAGTTTCAAAGACAATGCATATATTATACTGGTAGGAACCTCCTGGTTACACCAGCCCACAGGAGATTATTGTGTCCGTCCGTCCGTCCGTCGTACATCCAAAAATGGGAGGGGTGGGGCTGGGTGCAGAGGGGAGGGTGGGGAGGGGCTGGTTGGTGAGGGGCTGGGTGGGGAGGGGAGGGTGGGGAGGGGCTTGGTGGGGCTGGGTGGGAGGGATGGGGCTGGGTGGGGAGGGGCTGGTCACCTCGTGGTGCCCTTATAAAACTCAACTTTTAACCTACTCACGCCGGCTTGTGCCCGCCCTCACAATCGGCCATATTTGCGGAATACACCACGCCGCCGTTGACCCTGGCCATTGACCGAGCAACCCAACGTTCCTATCAGCTCCCTCCGCAGGAATGTGTTCCGAGTAAGTATTTTGTTTGCATTCTGACCATAAGTATTGTGGTTAATGCAGACATGATTCTTTGTAAAAGGTTTCAGTTTGGTGTTTTAAAATCTTAACACAACTGTTTTGTTGCCAGAAAAAAGGGGAAAACCTATTCTCATATTTTGGTACTGGCAAAGGAGGTGCCATGATGTATAGTGTCGAGTAGGGTGTATGTATATATATATGGTTGAACTTCTTTCTCGCCATACGTAGCCAACCGCGCGAATCGGAGGTGCTGGGAATAAAGGACAAACAAACTAAACACAACAACAAGCAGTTGTAGAGCGAATGAGTTTGTCAACCGAGATCATGATTAACAAAACAAATTATTGATGAAACCGGGTAAAAGTTTTAAATAAAATATTTCTTTTATTTATCGCGCTTTCTGCCCATCGATTTTTACGCGGATGAATCAAACCGGTTCGCCAATGGTCACAAAAGGAGCTGTCGCGTGGAACAATGGCGGTAGTGGCGGTGTTTTGACTTCAGCGAGGCCTGAAATCAACGGCGCCCGAAATCGGCGTCGTCTTAATTCAGCAACGCTTCAAATCAACGACGTATAAAATCAGCAAAGTCTTAATTCAGCAACGCTTGAAATCAGCGATGTCTGAAATCGGCGACGTCTGAAATCGGTGACGTCTGAAATCAGCGCCATCTTAATTCAGCCACGTCTGAAACCAGCGACGTTTTGACTTGAAGAGGAACGGGCGCGCGACGAATAAATAAGTCTGAGCGATGCAACGCCCGAGAGACGGCCACAAGATCTATGCCCGCGTCTCAAATGTCATCGGGGGGGGGGGGGGGGGGGGGAGACCACATTGTTTTCAAACTCGTCCGAATTTACAACGACAATCAACAACATCCACAAGCTCTCAGAGCGACCAGCACAGACGAGAGCTCGTCAGCACAAAGCCCACTTGCTGTACTACCCACAGCCCTCCACCCGCACGGCTATTCGAGCGAGCGGGCTAGCGTGCGTCGCGGTCGATGGCAGCGTGTATCTGCAAACGCTCCGCCACTGTCATGGACGAGCAACAGAGACCTCCACTGCACGTGGACTTTGGTCGACATTCTTACAAAAGAGAGAGATCCCGGGATCCACACACGGAGATCTGTAGAGGCACAGAGAGAAAGAAAGATCCCTGGATCCGCACACGTAGATCCGTAGAGGCACAGAGAGATCCCTGAATTGAGACACAGAGATGCGTCGAGGCACAGACTTATCCCTGAATCTGCACACAGAGATCTGCAGAGGCACACACGCACCCACAGAGGCATAGACTCGCAAAGAAACCCACACACTCTCAGAGAGACATCCGCAGACTCTCATAGAGGCCCACGAATTCCAATAGAGACTCGTGGAATCTTACAAGATAGCCCCATAGAATCTCACGCAGAGACCCATAGACTACCGCAGAGACCCACAAAAACTTACACAGAGACCTATAGACTCCCGTATAAACCTGCATACCCTCAGAGAGACATCCGCAGACTCTCATAGAGGTCCACGGATTCCAATAGAGACCCGCGGAATCTTAAAAGAGAGAGGTCCATAGAATATCGTGCAAAAACCGCACAGGCTTACATGAAGATACCGAGACTCACGTAGAGACCCGTAGACTCACACAGCCACACAGGGACCCGAAGACTCACACAGACACCCGTAGAGTTACACAAACACACAGAGACCCGTATAATCACACAGACACACTGAGCCCTGTAGACTCACACTGACACACAGAGACCCGTAGACTCATACAGACACACAGAGACCCGTAGACTCACACAGACACACTGAGCCCTGTAGACTCACACTGACACACAGAGACCCGTACACTCATACAGACACACATAGACCGTAGACTCACACAGAGACCCACACAGACATACTGAGCCCTGTAGACTCACACAGACACACAGAGACCCATAGGCTCACACAGACAGACAGATACCCGTAGACTCACACAGAGACCCGTAGACTCACACAGACACCCGTAGATTTACACAGACACACGGAGCCCTGTAGACTTACACAGACACATAGAAACTCGTAGACTCACACAGACACACAGAAACACGTAGACTTACACCGACACACTGAGCCCTATAGACTCGCATAGTAATGGGTGGTGGTACTAATGGTAGTGGGTCATAGTAGCGGGTGGTAGTAGTAGTGCATGGTAGAGGCCGACCGAAACTGAATTTCTGGTTTCGGCCAAAACCGAAAGCAAAGCGAAAGTAAACCTTTTGGCTTCGGCCGAAACAGAAACTTTGCCGAAAGAAGCCATTTGCCAACTGTCGTCGGCGCCGAAACAGAAACCGAATTTCGGTCGGCCTCTAGTGGGTGGTGGTGGTAGTAGTGGGTGGTGGTAGTGGGTGGTGGTTGTAGTGGGTGGTGGTAGTAGTGGGTGGTAGTGGTTGTTGTAGTAGTGGGTGGTAGTAGTGGGTGGTGGTAGTAGTGGGTGGTAGTGGTGGGTGGTGGTGGTAGTAGTAGCGGTGGTAGTGGTGGGTGGTGGTGGTAGTAGTGGGTGGTAGTGGTGGTAGTAGTGGGTGGTAGAGGTGGGTGGTGGTGGTAGTAGTAGTGGTGGTAGTGGTGGGTGGTGGTGGTGGTAGTAGTGGGTGGTAGTAGTGGATGGTAGTGGTTGTTGTAGTAGTGGGTGGTAGTGGTGGGTGGTGGTGGTAGTAGTAGTGGTGGTAGTGGTGGGTGGTGGTAGTAGTGGGTGGTAGTAGTGGGTGGTAGTGGTTGTTGTAGTAGTGGGTGGTAGTAGTGGGTGGTGGTAGTAGTGGGTGGTAGTGGTGGGTGGTGGTGGTAGTAGTGGGTGGTACTGGTGGGTGGTAGTAGTAGCGGTGGTCATAATGAAGTGACGACGTATCTGCGAATCGACGTACAAGAGGGAGACGTAAATGGAGAGTATTACTGGACTCATACAGAGATCTATAGACCCACAGATACCCATAGGCTCACACAGACACCCATAGGCTCACGTAGAGACCCATAGACTCACATGGAGGCTCTCTCACTCAGCCAAGCACCCACACAACCACCTACCCACTCACCCACCCACTCACCCACCCACTCACCCACCCACCCACTCACCCACCCACTCAACAACAACCGCCAATCGCCACTAAGTGGCGGTGACGTCACCACGACGCTTGTGCCAGGCCATGTGCACCTTGAGGCCACGTGAAGTGTCGAACGCCCGCTGGCAGGAGGTCACGGGGCAGACCCAGGTGCTACCCACTCACTCACCCACCCACTCACTCATCCACCCACTCACCCACTCACCCACCATTGCTGCAGGGCACCCCACTCCTCACGCTGCTGCACTGCAAAATATTCCTCTCCTCCCAACATCCTCAACATCATCCCCATCATCATCCCCATCATCATCACCCTCATCACCATTCTCATAATCGCCATCCTCATCACCACCACCATCATCACCACCATCACCCCCATCATCACCACCATCACCACCATCACCACCATCATCACCATCATCACCATCATCACCACCGCTACGACCGTCTCTTCGTGCCCCCACGTCAAATACAAAATCCTCGCCCGGTTCGAGAGCCACCTCCTCCTCCCCCCCTCAATCCTCCTCCTCCCCCCCTCAATCCTCCTCCTCCCCCCCTCAATCCTCCTCCTTCTCCTCCTCCTCTTCCTCCTCCTCTTCCTCCTCTTCCCCCTTTTCCTCCTCCTCCTCCCCCTCCTCCCCCCCACGTGTCTCTGGAGGCGTCGTCCCCCCTCAAGGCGCCGCGCACTCCCCCACGTGCAACCGCAGCACCCCGCGGCTGTGCAGCGCCAGCAGCTCCAGGAACTCGTGGGGCATCGAGTGGCGCCGGTTGGGCTTCTGGTCGTCGTAGTAGTGGTGCGTCAGCTCCACCCCCGCACCGCCCGCCCCGGGCGGGACTGCCCGGTCGAACGGCCAGAAGCCGTAGACATGCACCTCGTCACACAGGTCCATGGCCACGCTCGTCTGGGGGGGAGGGGAGGGGGGGTGGGGGGGGGAGAGGTGAAGACGTTGGGGGGGGGGGGGATCGCACGCGTGGAGAAGGAGAGACACGGAGAGATGAAAGGGAGAAAAAGGTGGTGGTGTTGGGGGTGGGGTTTAGATGTGGGGAGATGGATGGACACACGGGGAGACAAGGTGGTGGTGGTGGGGGTGGGGTGTAGATGTGGGGAGATGGATGGACACACGGGGAGACAAGGTGGTGGTGGTGGTGGTGGTGGGGTGTAGATGTGGAGACATGGATGGAGACACGGGGAGACAAAGGTGGTGGTGGTGGGGGTGGGGTGTAGATGTGGGGAGATGGATGGAGACACGGAGAGACAAGGTGGAGAGAGAGAGAGTGCGATGTGAAGTTTCTGAGAGACGCAGTGGAGATGCTGGGAGACGCGGGGTGTGTGTGGGGGGTGTGGGGGGATGAGGGTGGGGAGGGAGGCTGACCATCATGAGCCCCGATGAGGGTCGCGGCTCGTTCACCCCCTGGCCCTTCCAGAAGCGCGCGATGGCCCTCATGTAGTCGGGGTTGAAGAAGGCGACCCTCTGCTTCGCTCCGAAGTCCTCCAGCGTGAAGACGAGCTGCAGGCGGACACACACACACAGGGACACGTGACACAGAGACGTGGACACGTGACACAGACGGACACGTGGACACACAGA